GGTAGGGCAGGAGGAGGATGAGGAGGTGAAACTGCAGCTCCCAGCAGTACACAAACACTTCCCATGTGTATTCCGCATACACTGCAGCTTGCAAGACTACGTGCAGGACAACAAACAAACAGCTTCTGTAACAGCAAGGGGACAGTCTATTCAATACATAGCATCCTGATTAACAGGTCCCCTCAGAGGTGACCAGCAAAGACTTTCCAAACACAAGGAGACACCTTTCAGGTTTTCAGGCCAGCATGGATTGCATATTAATAGCATTTTCTCCTTCCAATGCCTTCCTTCTCTTCTTCCCACATACACTCCTTACAATACACCAGCTAAACTCACTTCCACTACTAGCATCTCCTCTGACTTTCTTTTCCCATCAGTAAAATACAAAGTCTTGTAATCACTTGCTGCTGACAAAACATGCCACAGCAATAGAGCGCAAAGCATTCTGCCAGAAGACATTTGCTATGTGCTGCTCTGCAAGCAAAGAATACCCCAGTGAAAGCTGAGCTCAAAAACCCTGTAATAACCTAAGCAGCTGTTAGGAGACAAGCGTGGCAGGAGTTAGCAAGGGCCAGTACTGGTGCCAGGCTGCAGGTTCTGCGAGGCACGTTGCACCACCACTTGGCACACAGGTTTGTTTGGGATGCATCACACTGAGAACAGCTTCCAGCAGCCTGGCAAAGAGACGCCAAGATAAGCCACACATTAGGAAAGCAATGCTCCCTTACTACAGTTCTCTGCATTACACATCAGTTTGCTGGGCTTGTATTATGAGTTTTAAATAACTAGTGATGTGTACTTTACTACAGGGGGAAGTCTGTTGCAGACAAGCTCTCCTCTACTGCTCTCTCCTCCACCATTTCATGTGCAATCCAGCAAGATCCTGTGAAGTCTCTCAGCTGCAGGGCTACAAGAAGATGCTCCCAACCTTGGCAGCTGTGAAGCTTCCTCTTGAGCTCAGACACCCAAACTGCTGGACTGAGAGTAATGGGATTTTAGGGAGAGGATGGGGGTTGCCAGCTAGAGGTTGGCAGTCTAGAGGCTATTGTACTCCACCACTGTGACCAACATCTGTTACACTGGAAGCCACTGAGCCACAGCATCTTTATCTGTCAAATATTTCGGGGTACCATCTTCTAAACAATAAGCAAGGAACAAACAGACTACAGTGTGGCAAACCATAAAGGGAATCTGTAATCCTCGACAAGCACCCCTGACAAAGAGAATCTAAGGATAACACTGAAAGCTCTGTTGGGGGTAGGAGGTCACAACAGGAACCACAAATACAGTAAAAAATAATGTCAAAAGCATTAAGAAGTGCAATACCTTGTGTGGAAGAGCCTGTGAAGCACCCTCTGTGCCACCCTCTGGAGCTGCGCAGGGATCACAGATGACAGTGCCTGAAGCAAATGAGAACACTGTTGTTACCTGAATTGCACAATGTTTCTGCCTGTGGAAAGGTCAAACAGAAACACAAGTTGCCTAATCCCTCAGTTATGGATCTGTAGCAGTGGGGAGGGAGCTCATTTTCAGGGTATGTGAACTCCTAAGAATACAGCAGGAATGTTGCAGGGGATTTCACCGTGGGAGTGAAGTTCTGTGTTCTTGGGAGCTCAACAGGCACAAACGTATCTGGGTTAATGTGTGAAAGTTAAGGAGCTTATAGTGGGTTACAGGCTGGTAACTGGTTAAGCAGGGGATAGAACTGAGCAATTCCCAATCTGCAATATGCTTCATCAGGACATCTGACAGATGCAAGCACAGATAAGCAAAGGGATAAAGTCAGATGCCCTCCAGAAGGGAAAAAAACACCCCACAACCTAACCAAAACCCAACCAAAACCCCCAAATCTACAGTTCTTCAACTACAGCTATGGCCCAGCCATGTCTGACTGCTGCTTCAAACCAGCCAGCCACGATGAAGAAGGAAAGTGTCTGTGTTCATTCAGTGAGCTCCTCAGCAGCAGTCTGTGACCGCCGAGCTGTCTGACTCTGCTCTTCAGAGGGTGATAGATCTCTATAGCAACACATTGCTCCATCAGCGGTGCAGGAATTAGAGCAGCTGAGCCTATTTCTAGCTGACATGGAAAGAAAATATGCAGTGAGAGCTTCTTGTCTCAGATGTGAAAGCCCAGAAGGCAAAAAGCATATGTAAGAGTTGAGAAGACGCTAAATATTTTTCTTTTAACTGGTATGCCTCTAGCAGCAGTTCAAGTGACAAGTCTTGCTTCAAAGATGAGGCTGTGTTCTGCACTAGGAAACACAGAACTAGACAGGAAAGCAGCCTGCATCAAATATTAACTGTGTGTCAGTACGGTGTAACATTGCATTCAATACCCATCATCCCCCCATGTACAGCACAGCAATCCCCTGTATTTCAGCCACTGCTTACACCACAGCAAGAGGCTCCTACAAACACCGTTTGTGCCTGCAGGGATGCTGGAAGCAGGAGAAAGTGAGAAGAGTTGCACCATGAATATAACCACCTCGCACAACCGAACCACTGGCAGCAAGGAAAGCAGCCAGGGATGGAAGCTGACCTGCTCAGAGCTGTGCTCCGTGTGAGTTAATGCCTTCATCTCCCTCACAATGAATATCTGTGAGGCTCTTACAAAAGCACAGTCAAACAACTTAAACTTCCAGGCTTGTACCCTTCATCACTTACAGTCAGATACCAATTTAAATTACAGTGTCCAGAGAAGCTACTCAGGATTATCTTTATGTATTTCATGAGAATAAGCATTGATTTCACTTCTCCAGCCAGTGACTTTACATCTCAGCAGTATTTGAACTGCTGACTGTTACATGTTTCATAGAAGCAGCTATTAATATCTCTCTGCACAGTGATCTATGTGTCTATAAAGCCAGGTTGGATGGGGCATCTGCTCTAGTGGAAGGTGTCCTTGCCCATGGAGGGAGCTGGAACTGGATGAGCTTTAAGGTCCCTTCAACCCAAACCAGTCTGGGAGTCCATGAGAAAAAGTACAATACTAGTAATAAAATCAAAGTCTGTTTAGACTCATGTGAGCAGCATTAAGTATTATTTATAATTTAAATGACAATTCTCTTATCCTTTCCCTTCCAAGAATATCGCCCCTTTTCGTTTCCCCTCTTCATTCAGACACAGTCCAACAGACAGAAAAATAAGCTTGTGCCTTATCAATTCATTCCCTGATTTTTCAATAAAATGCCAATTCTTAATCCTCTTTTAAAGCTCTTCATTCCCCCCCTCTTCTTACGAACAGCAGCCTGCAGTATTACAGGCTCACCTTAAAGAGCTTCCCTAAAACATTTGCCACCAGTTGTAATTCTCTCCCTATTTTAATCCTCAAACTTCCTCCCACCTTCTTCCTCTTAATGACAGCAGCAACTACCATGAAACTGCAAACACACGGGACCTCGTTGTTATTTCATGTCTCAAAGCTGACGTGTTACGGTGTCACTGAACACCACACTTTGAGCATCACAACTCCCGTGCGTGCCACCACCCTCAGCACTGCTGCCAGACTGGCACACGCAGGAGCCATGAGACACAAATGGGCTTTTCCTACCTGCTCGGGCTGGATTTCAGGAGCTGGAAGGAAGCGTGGTTCTATTTCCAACCCTGATTACTGGAGAGCAGTTGTCAAAATAAGATGAAACGTGAGATACAGCACACTGTGTGTATTAGGGCGCCGAGGTGCTGGCACAGGGTGCCCAGAGAAGCTGTGGCTGCCCCATCCCTGGCAGTGTTCAAGGCCAGGTTGGACACAGGGGCTTGGAGCAAGCTGCTCCAGTGGAAGGGGTCCCTGCCCATGGCACAGGTTGGAGCCAGATGGACTTTAAGTTCCCTTCCAACCCAAACCACTCCATGATTCTATGATCCCTCTGACCATATATATTAGTGGGTTTATAGAGGAGAGATGCAGCAGCTGCACTGATTTAGCACAGTGAACCTGCTGAGTTCATTGGAGACCACCACGGCTCCGAGAGCTGGGCTCTTTACCTGGCTCACAGCGCTGACGCTTCCAGCGAGGAAGCTCTCCCTCCTCCCCGAGCAGAGGCACGGCAGAGCCATGGCAGAGAGCACAAAGCACGAGTAGATGAGGAACAGGCTCAGGAAGTCCATCCCGCGCCCTGCAACACAACACGAGCCCCGTGTTCGTGCCGCTGGGTGCCGGTGCCCGGGGCAGCGCCCAGGCCCGGCCCGGCCTCACCGGGGAGCCGCGCACCTGCAGGCCCCACACCAGGCCCTGGGGTGTGCGGGGACTGGAGCCCGAGGTGCCCTGGGGGGGGGTTCGGTCGCGGCCTGCGGGGTGTCCGGCCGCCAGCCCCGGGGGTCACCGGGCGGAACGACACCCGCCTCAGGCGCTCCCTCAGCCCGCACCGGCGGCTGTCCCCCCGCCCGGCAGGGGGCGCGCTCAGCGCCAACCCTCCCGCCGAGGCCGGCTAATCGATCGCCGAGCTCGCCTGCCCCCTCCGGTCGCTCGGGGATCTACAGCGGCGGGAGCGCCTGCCCGGTACCGGCCCCGCTGTCCGGAGCCACCGTTCCCGGGGCCCAGCGGCTCCGCGGAAGGGGTTTCCCGGGCTGAAGGGACGGGGCAGCCGCTGGGCCGCCTCCGGGACGGGGGGGAGCCACCGATGGCCTCCCGGAGGAGCTGAGGCCGCGGGGCAGCGCCACGTGTGCCGGGCTCCTTCCTCCGTGCGCAGCCGAAGCGAAGGGTAAAGCGGTAGCAATAAACGTTAAATCATTGTTATAAACCCCATGTCCGTTCGGACCGTCCCGGGCCGCTCCTTACCGTGCGGGCGGAGCGGGGGTCCGCCGTTCCGTACCGTTCCCAGGGGGTCCGCACGGCGATTCCTTGTGTCACTGCTGAGGGATGTGCAGGAAGTTGTTGCCTTTGGTGATCGGAATCTTTGGTCTTCCAGAGGAGCTCCCAGCATCAGGTCTCACCATCACCTCCCGTGCGCTGCAGGGCAGGAGCACGGGGTGCAGCGCCCCGGTACCCGCAGGGTCTCACGGGGAGCCGTGTGCTGGCGCGGCAGGAGGGGCAGCCCGGCCCCGGTGCCCTGCGCGGGGGCTGTCAACTGAAACCGCCGCAGCCGGTGCCCTCCGCGGCCGATTGGGTTACGGTGCCCGGGTAGAGTTTGCCATAGAAACCGGGCCGGGCGCTGCCGCCGGGAAACAGCCCAGAGCCGCGGCCGGAACTGCTGTGATGGTCTCGCCCGCGCCGGGGGTCCCGCTGGCTGGATCCCGGGCACCGCAGGTAAGCCCCGAGGGGTGCTCGGGATGCTTGGGTACCAAGAGGAGTGGTTGAGGCACAGCGGCATTGGCACCAAGAGGACGCTAACTGGCTTGACTGAGGTGCAGCATCAGGTGAGGCTGTTTCAGGAAGGGGACCTTGTTTTCCCTGGTAAGTTCCTTCCCCTCAATGCGCTAAACCAGACCCTAAAGGAGAGAAATGCACCCAAAACATTACCAGGGCACACGGATCCTGGAATGCAGCCCGAGGTGCTTTGCTCCTGAGAGAGGCTGTAGTGAAAAGCTGTTTCCTCCCTGTTGACACACTGGAATTCCTGCACTGCTCCAGGTACAATGGTAGGTTTTGTTGGGATGAGGGATGTAACCTGGTAAGTTTGGCAGCGTAGAAGGGGTCCTGGGATGGGTGAATGGCATCAGCATGGACACAAGGAAGTTGTTTTGTCTACAGGCAGGGTTTGGGTGCTGGAGCTGCCTGCAGTGAGTGTTAGCAAGCAGGGCACCATCACCTGCACTGCTGAGGAGCTCCATCCACTCTTCCTGGTCTTCAAACAGCCAGAAAAGGGCTTTGTTATCAGTTGCTTCACTTGCTCACAACCACCGCAGTTTTGCCTGCCTGTTTGAGCAGCGGGTAGTGAAGAAGATGCCCTGAGCAGGAGGTGTGTGTATTTCTGTGTCAACACGGGAGGGCAGTGCATGCTCCCCCCAATGCCTGCCCGAGCATCTCAGCTGCTGAGAAGGAGATCTGTGCTTGTACAGAACCTGTGAGAGTGGAGCCACGTCCCCTCTCCAGCAGAGCACCACCAGCGCCAGGGCTGGGAGGACAGGAGGAGAAGGCTTCTGGGCTTCCTGAAGGGTTGTTTTCCCTTCAGCCCATCGCTGCTGACAGCTCAGTCCACACCAGTGCGAAGGGAAGACCAAGGGGTTGCTGTGTTGTCGGGGATGGGATGCAGATGACCGCTCCTGCTGGTGCCGCAGCAGGATGTGTAATACCCTAAACCCTCTTAGTGTGCTAAGCCCTGGGATCCCTCAGTGCTGAGGAAGCAGAGGAGAAAACCAGAAATAGCAGCTTAACAAACAGTGCCGGGGGGGGGGGGGGGGGGGGAATCTGCTGGGAAACATTCCCAGCTGCTCCTGCTGTGAGGACCCTGCATGGAGCAGCCTGGTCCAGGCCCCCAAATCCCTGCAGCAAACCCTGCATCATCTGACAGAATCACACGCCCGAAATCTGCTGTCCTGCTCAAACCGGCAGTGATGGGGCCAGCGAGGAGGTCTCAGCACATCCACATACCTGCTGCATCTGCTGCTTGGCAAAGTGCTGTCTCTTCAGATTCGCCCTGTGGGTGAGGGATTTCCCTCCATGGCCACTAATCTCTTTTACCTCCTTCCAGCTCCTAATTCCCCCCAGATCTGCAGGCTCAGCTCAGCCCTAGACTCAGCCAGGACCAGCACAGCAATTAGCTTGTCCTTCCTTCTCTTTGCTATGGAAATAAAGTTAATTAGAACAGGAAAAGGCAAAACAGCCCTTTCTGCCCGCCTGGGGCTGACAGGGAGCCACTGGAAGGGCACAGGGCTTGAGTAAGAAGCCTTGGGAAGGAGCAGCCACCCTGGCTCTGCCCCAGCTCCATGGCGCAGCAGCCGTTTGCCCACCCCTGGACCAGCGAGAGCTTCCAGGGGTGATGGAGGAGGACCAGGAAAGCACCAACCCCTCAGCGGGACCAACCTGCTGCTGGTGAGGGCCCGCCAGGCTCGCGTGGATGGCTGCAGACTTCTGTAAGTGCTCGAGCGTAGGGTGCAGAGGTGGAAGGGGTGATGCAGCGAGGCGATGGCTGCTGCTCTGCTGGGCTTTGCTGTGGAGCTCAGCCCAGAGCGGCAGCACTGGCGCTGTCCCAGTGGTTACTGGGCACTTGCTGGAGCCTTCAGTGCTCGAGCTTGTGTCCTGGTGTTCAGCTGCAGATGATTCCATCCTGCTGCTGCCAGCCTTGCCCTGTGCTTCACCCTGGACACTTCTCCTCCGGACCTTCGCATCTGTACCTGTTAACATGGGCAATGGCTTTATTTCCTCTTTAAAAAGTAGCAGTAATCCCCGATTTTGTATAGCATTTTAATCAGCTCTGCTCTACAGAGGAGGACAAGATTATTACACTTCTAATGTGAGCGACAGCACGTTGCTTGGTCCTTTTCATTATTTCCTTATGAAGGTAGCACATCTAGTGCTCTCTCATACAGCCTTGAGCAGCTGTTTGCAAGAGCAGAGCAGGCTCAGGTTATTAACACAGATTTCTGCTGTGTTCCCTGCCCATCCTTGCGATTCTGCTCTCAGAGCAAGCTGGTCTGTATTACCTCTGCTGAAAATGGACTTGAGAAGAGTTCCTTTCATCTCCCTGGTCTGTAATAGGGTATAAACCAGTATTTCCCAGGTCTGAAAGGAGCAGAAGAAAAGTCATTTGATCATTCAGATCAAAGCCAAGCTGCCCACTGAGGTGGAGGTGGGGAGGTGATGCCTTTGCTGTGCTGGCAGCAGCATGGACCAGAGGAAAGTAGGACCCTCGGAGTTGTCCAAGGGGATGAACCAAAAGACAGCTTTAGGCTGTGCCTCTGAGCCTGTGTTTGAGGCTTTTTGATCTGAAGGGCACAAAACTCAAGGTGCGTTAGTGAGGATGTTACTCTGGAGCAATGCTGAGTCCTCATAGTCTCTGTAAGATAGTTTGCCCAGGTAAAACAGGCTGTGTTTCATTTTGTAAGTGTTTAACACATGCTAAGTAGCACACATGGAACAAACATGGGGGTAAAAAGCATCTCTGCAGACAGCTGAGATCAAATGAAGGGAAAATCTACATGCAAATCATTACAGCAAGCGTCAGCCATCCACAGAGGTACTTACACATGGGCAGCATGGAAAGGGCATCCAAGTGAGCCGCACACATCAGCTGCTCCGATTTACCTGGGGCAAAGATGACTTCTGCAGATGTTGAGGGCTGATGTGCCCGCTTTCTCCTTGAGCATCCACGGAGCCGGTTCTGACCCTTCAAAGTAACCACAAACAAGTCCTTTTGAGAATCCTCATCTTTGCATTTCAGGGTGCTGTGATCAGGTTAATCCTGGACACAGGACACAGAGAAATACCCCTGGGAGAACTGAGAGCATCTGACAAATTCTAATGAATTTGTGTTAATCTTGCTGTTGCAACCAGCTCCAATATTGGGTATTGCAAAGAGCTGGTTAAACCCAGGCTGTCTGAAGCCGCTGGATGACCTGTTCATTAATGGGACGTGCCAGGGAAATGAAATAATCAGTTTGATTGATACACAAATAAATACAAGCAGGAGCCTAAAGACACCTCCTGGTGAGATGGAGGTGGGGAATGTGCCACCTCCAGTGGGACACAGGCTGTGCAAGGCCATGGCCCTGGTGCCAGGCATAGCCCCACCATCCAGCCAGCGCAGCTTCCTCACTGCTAATGGCACTGGCACTGCTGGCAGCCTTATGGTGGAAGAGTAAAAGCTATTTTTTAGCTAAATATAGAGGAAAAGTGTCCCCATTGGGGCACTTCTTCCCACAATTGAACGTGCAGCACCCCCACACCCAATGGGACCCACATGGCATCTACAAGAACTGACGTTAAGGATAGAAAACACCACAGCTCCTGTTTTTCCCTTCTTTTCCAGTCGCAGCCATGCCAGCGACCAACCAGGGCTGGCCCGAGGCCTTCGGGTTCAAGATAACGGGGACTGGTCCATGCTACATCCTCTGGGTGCAGGAAGGCAGCAGCGCAGCGGCAGCAGGGCTGCGGCCAGGGGATGAGGTGCTGGAGATCGAGGGGCAGCCCGTGTCCTCCCTGGGCTGCGCGGCGCTGCTGGCGCTGGCCCGGCGCTGCCCCAACGTGCCCCCCAGCATCGGGGTGGTGTCGCGCCTGCAGCACCTCCACATCCCCCCCGCTCCACGGGGATGCTTCGGCTTCGAGCTGGCGAGCGGCAGCCCCCCAAGAGTGGCCGGGGTCAGCCCGGACTCTCCCGCTGCTGCCTGCGGGATGGAGCCGGGGGATCTCGTGCTGGAAGTCAATGGGATGCCGGTGATGCTACCCGAGGCGGTGGCTGCCCTGGTGGGGTCCTGCCACGGGCGGTCCCTGCAGCTGGGGCTGCTGCGGCCGCAGCGTGGGGCTGGGACACGGGACCCCATCCCCAGCGCTGATGCCGTGCACCAGGAGAGGAGGCAGAAAGCGCAGGAGTTCAGCAGGAAGGTAAGGATGGGCTGTGGGGCTCTGGGCACCTCTGCAGCAGGCACTGGAGATCCCCACATCCAGCCTTTGCAGCGTGCTGGGACATGGGGATGCTCCTGGCTTGGTCATGGCATTGAGCAGCAGATGTGGGGCATCAGCACCCAAGAGAAGGCTCTGACAACCACCTGTATTTCAGTAGCCCCATAGAGAACAGATGGGTGCTGCAAAGGGCTTGGGGACCCTCTGGGTGCTGACCCCAAGGGCTTGTTCCTTTGCACTACAAGAGCATGTGGAAGCCCACAGGGGCAGATCCCCATCTCCTGCACATCCTCCCACAGACATTTTAGCTCTAAGTCTGTTGCAGAGACAAAGCATCAACATGATTACATCTTCATTGTGTTCCTGAAAGCTTCCTAGTGGGCAGTTTACCAACCCCATCTCCTCACGCTGACTGTAATTTTGATCATGGCTGGTTTTTTTTTTAATCTCTCTAATTTCCATTTCAAAGTGGCCTTTTAAGATACTGTTACGAGAATAACCAGGGCTGAGGGTTCTTGGATCCTGAGTTAATAAAGGAACAAGACATTCATAAAGAGATTTGCAGGTATCAGCTGAATCCCCTCAGTCAGCTTCTGCATTAAAGATTCACAAGCGTGCGCTGAGGTTCGGATTCATAAGGCAAAGCATCGCGTGTGAAACAGATACCTGCTGGTTACAGGAGATTCACAACAGGCTGGGAGGCTGCTCCACGCTGCCTCCATCTCCTGAAGTCACATTAAACCGAGTAAACACTTCCTGGATGGGCACAGGAGAGCACTTTCGGAGCCAACAGGATGCTCATGGTGCTGTGAGCTCCCACAGCAGCACCTCTGCTGCATCCCTTCCTTGCCCAGCAAAGCTGCCTTGGCCAGAAGTGGGTTTGAGGAGCACGTGTGCCAATGGCTCCTGGGTGCTGGAGCACAGCCCAGTGGGCAAGCACCTCTCCAGAGGGAGTTAATGGGGGCTGATTTAAGTGGCTTCATCTTTTGACATGATGCAGAGAGTAATAGAACACTTCACCCCTCTTTACCTGGGAGCTCAGCTCTGGTTGGTGCTCCTGGTGCAGTGCTCCTGTGATAGAGGTGCTCACGGTCCCAGTTCCAGGTCGTCTCCTCTTGTCCCCTGCATGCTCAGGGACTGCACTGACATGAGAGGCAGCAGCAACCCCATTCCCAGCCACCAAGCCCTGGGATTCCCATCCCAGGCAAACATTTCACGGCAGCACCCCCAGATTCATCCCACCAGGAGCACCGTGGTCCTTTGCATTTCAGAGCTGGACCTTGGGACTCGGCAGCACACCAGTGAGCCCAAGAGAATGCGAGTGCCCCAGATTCCATAACCTTGAAGCGCTGCTGCCGGCGGCTGCGCAGACCCAAAGCACCCAGGGGGCTGCAGTGGGGGGACAGCACCAGCACCGAGCCTCCCGTGGGAGCTGCCAAGTGGGACAAGCACCTGGAAGACTCGGCTCTTCCTCTTCCCTGGATGAGGGATGCTCCCAGATGATGCAAGGGGCTTGGCTGGGTGATGGCTGCTGGTTCCCATGCAGTGCTGCTGCAGGATGCACACCAAGGAAGGGTGAAGGGCTCTGCTGCCCTCACTGCTGCATCCCCCTGTGCTCACGGAGCTGCTGTCAGCACAAACCCATCACCTTGCAGGAAAACCCACTGCACACAATGACTGCAGGGCAGTCACAGGGAGCTTCTGCACCCCATGCATTCGCTGCATGCAGCCGGGCTGCAGGCACCAGCATCCCCCATCCAGCACAACCCCAGGCCAAAGAGCAGCCCCCAGCCTGGGAAGGGGCTGATAAGGAGGGTCCCGTTGGGGGTGATTGGCTGGGTGGTGATTAGCTGATTGCTCCGCCTGCCAGGGCTGTCACAGGTGGAGAGGACGGGGCAGCAGCTTGGTGCTGCCGATGCTGTTTCAAGCATCACCTCCAAAAGCCTATTGCAATGGAAGGCAGATTCCAAACTGATCAGCCAGATCCCAGCCTGGCTGTGGCACAGCCTCTCTGTCCTGCTGCAATGTTTGCAACACATAGAACAGCCCCACCAGGGACATGTGGGGGACCCCAGCAGTGCTGTGTGATGGGCTGGTGTCTGGTGTTTCTCCTTCTTCCCCACGTGTTCCCTCTTTGCTGACTGGGTGTTGCGATGAGGTGGACGCGTTTTCTGCGCCCTCAGTGCCTCCATACATACCATTACCTGCTCTGCTCAATGTCCCTTCCCTCTCCTCTCCCGGCTCCCATGTTGCAGGTGGATGACATCCTCGGTGACCAGCCGGAGGTGAAGGAGAAGGTGTTCACTGTCCTGAAGCAATACGCAGCGGAGCGGAAGGTGGAATACTTGGCCTATGCCCTCTGCATGGTCCTCACCCAGGAGTCCCACCAGCATCTCATTGACAGCATCAGGTACAGGGTGACAGTAACCTCCTGCGCTGGTCTATAAGCCACGGGTGCCCATCAGGCTGTGGGTGCTGAGCAGTGCAAGCATGGCCCAGGAGATCGGGGACCTGCACCATACCAGCCACCTGCCATCCCCATCCCTGCAGTGCTCACAGCCCCATGGAGCCACCACCTCCTCCTGCAGCGCGGATGTGGCTCCCGTTTCTGGCTGTCGTTCCCAAGGGAGATGGGGTTGGCTGCAGAAGGGCTGGCAGCTCTTCAAGAGCCTGGCCAGGAAATAACCCAGGTGAGGGGCAGCTGGGGGGGGGTGTCTCTGTTGGGACCATGGGCAGTGCCCGCAGCATCCCGGGATGCTCTGGCAATGCTCTGCTTGGGTTTGGGCAACTCCTGAGCCCCTGGCACAGCGGGTGTGTAGCGGGTCCCCCGCTCTTGCTGCAGTGTGGAGTGCAGGGCAGCGCACGGACACGTGGCGGGGATTACAGCCGGGCTGAGACGATGGCCATTAGGGAATCAGGTCTCCATCTGGCTGCACTCTGGGCCCGGCTTCCCAATTCCTGCTTTAATCAGTGGAATTGCGAGATATTACGGTTACCATAACAACGTCCCCGTGCCGGGGTCTCCACCGTGCCTGCCGCCAGCCGATGATCCGGTGATGGGGATGGTGGGAAGAGCGGGGCAGCGGCCCTTGCCGTGCAGTGTCCTCATGCTCTGCTGTGGCTGAACACGGGTCAGCTGGAACCCCCCTGTACTGGAGTGGGGACGGGCACAGAGCCCTGTAGAGCCAGCATGCGGAGGGGATTATCATATCCCATATAATTACATATTCCCTATAATTACACAGGATCATTTCCCGCTCAGAGAGGATCTGAATAAGTGTCCAAGTATTTCCTCCGGACCCAAGCCCATCTGCAGGGGCACAGCAGGTTCCCTCAGAATATCCCCATCCCAGTGACCCGCATGTTAGCAGAGGAGAATGTGGCTGAACCCGGTGCTGACATCCCTATGGCCAGCCCTGTATGCCATGGGGCAGCACCACGGGACAGCCCCCCTGATATCACATTGAAACCCCGCTGCTGCCCCATGCCCCTGTGTGAAGGGTTAACGGTGGGGCAAGACGCGCCGTGTATCAGGAAGCTGATCTTGGTTTAATGGAAATGAAATATTCAGCTTAGGGACAAGATTTACCATTTAATCTTAATGGAGTGAGGACAATAAAAAATCAAGGTGCTTTGGGAGCTGGTTTTGCAGCTGCGGGGTTCTGGGGAGCCAGGGGCAGCTCCGTGTGCGCTGCTGTACCCAATATGAGTTGCTGATCCTGGAGTTCCCCATCTGATGGGTTTGGTGCTGAGCAAGAGCTTTTAATGCTTTTAATAACCCTCTGAAAGGTGTGGGCAGCTCCTGGGTGCTCTGTGGGTGATTTCCCCATGGCTTGAGCCAGTTTAGTCCATCACTGACTGAGGGGTTTGGGCTCTGTGCCCTGAGCCAGCATCCTGGGACTGGGGAAGGGCTGTGCTGGGAGGTTTGTGCAAGGGGGAATCCTATCTCTGGCACTGGGATGGGGTGCTGGTGTGGCTGTCCCAGGGTGCAGAGCAGCCACCCCCAGGCAGCGGTGTGTCTTGGTGCCATTTAGGTGCACATGGATCCCATCTGAGCTGCCTGGGGCTCATCCTGCAGGACAACCCCTGCAGGCACATGGATCCATTCAAGGATGGGCTTGTGACCACACGGGTACCCCCCGTCCAGCCTTGGCGGCCCTGTGAGGCTGTGCCCAGCTCTCTGGGCTGTTTCCACCCAAGATGCTGGGGTGGAATCACACTCCCTCAGCCCACCCGTGCCTCCTGCCCTGCAGAGCCCAGAGGAGAGCAGCCGATAGGAAACTCCGAGGGGCTGGGATCACCCTTCCCTCCAGTGACAGTGATGCCCCTCAGCCAGGGACGAGGGAGCGATGATGAGGGTGATGGTCAGGGGTCCCCAACGCTCTCCCTGCTGTTCAAGCCCTGTCATGGGGTGCATGGTGGTGTCCCACTCTAGGTGCCCATGTGCCCCCTGCCATGCAGAGCCCAGCGGCCGCTACATCCCCATGTGCCACTGACCCTCACGCTGGCCTCATTGCATCTTCCCTCTGCACCAGCTGGGTTTATTTTCAGGCTGTTGGTGCTGCTCTGTCCTCCCTCCCCTCCTGTCCCCCCGGGTTTAACGTGCTCCCTGCAGACTGCAGCAGCGCAGCGTAACCCAAGACCCCCCGACTCCATCGACCCAGGGCTGCAGATGTTTCTCCTCTGCTCGCCTCCAGCTGGGCTGTTTCCAGCACTGGTGGGCTGGTTTGTTTACTTCCCTTTAGCTCAGACGGATTCCATCCCGTTTGCCCAGAATTAAGCTCCTGCAGGTTTTAATTTGCTGACATTTTCCTCATCCCCGTGGCTGTGGATAGCAGGGATAACGCACGTGCTGCGCCAGTTCCTCCCCGCTCCCATCCCCTGCCCATATGGCTGTAGTAAAAGTGCACAACCGTGGTTCTGCTCAAGAAGGATGAAATACGGCAGCGAGGGGGGAAGATGAGCTGTCTCGGGTGAGTAACGGATGGACCTTTCCTGGCAGGCTGGGAGGGGAACGGCTTTTAAAGAGCTTAATTCTCAAACCGAGCAAAGGCGAGATGTGCTAAAAGTTAATTAACTCTTAGCATCCGTGTGGCGGCGGGGCTGCTCTTGTCGGGGAGCTGCTGGGGAGAGGGAACCTCTTGTCTTGTGGTTGCAAAGAGCAAAGCCTGGGTCTGGTCCTGGGGGAGCCGCGGGGTTCGTCTCCCCTGCTCCCCATGGTGATACCAAGTGTGTGTGCAGGGCTTGTGGAGGGGAGCGGGTTATTCTGGGCACGCCGGGGTCCCAGGGGCGAGAGCCTTGGCTCTGCTCTTGTTTCTGGGCTGGTTTCAAAGCAGGGCACAGCTGTGGTTCCAGCAGAGGAACGGCACCGGCTCTGCACCCAGTGCTGTGCACCCAAGTGCTCTGCACCCAGTGCTCTGCACCCAGTGCTGTGCACCCAAGTGCTCTGCACCCAGTGCTCTGCATTGCGTTTAGGTCTGAACTACCTTTTTTGCATGGGAATTGGGGAGCGATGGGGACACAGGTCCACTCGTCCCCACTCACCTGCAGTGTTACAAAAGCTGGTGCATAAAGCACTGGTATTGACGCTCGCTGGACATCGTCCCATTAACCTGGATTTGGATAGCGGGATGCGGGTGTGCTCGGGAGCACATCCAACCTCTCACCCTGGCCCCATTAATTCATTAGGTGATAACTCTCGGGCTGTTTGGACTGCTCTGTGTTGTCATGGATCTGCTTTGAGCCATGTTGTGCTTCGCTCTGCTGCAGGGAGAGCAGTTGGGGTAGTTTGTTACTTCCCTGCTTTGGTTATGGTCTGTTTGCTTCCCAAATAGCCTCTGTCCCAGTGGGAAACCCAAAGTGAGCAGCCCAAGTTGCTGGCCCTTTGGGCTGGGCGAGTGCTGCTTTGGTTGCAGTCCCTTTTGATCAGTGACAAAGATAAAATCACTGCCCATCAGGGGTTCCCTTATAACGGGAGAAATTCCATCGGGTTCATTTTAACGGCGCTCCAAACACAATCTATTTGTCTCAGCTTGTTTTTCACAGCAGTAACAGCGCTTGGCATGTTCCCGTATTAAAAGGCTCCAGCCATCTGTGACTGTCTCTGGATAAGAAATTTCATTTGAGCCATCGGGATTTATATATTACGGGTTGTGCTGCTTCCCTGCTTGTGGTCCCCTCCATGTACCCACTCCTCTAGGGCTGGGGGCAGCTTTCCAGGTCTTTCGGGCACTGATGCAGCTTGTATTGGGTGACACCCCCCCATCCCACATCACTCTGGCTGTGGCTGATGCAGCACCTCAGACCACACACAGACACTGTCCCCCTGCCTGCGTAGAGCCTCTGGGGATGGAGGAAAAGCAGCTCTGGTTTGCTTCCATTCTAAAGAATCCCTAATCCGAGGGGCCAGCATATGTTCAGCTGCCCGAAAAAAGGGAATTAGGGCAGCATGGATAAAAACTGTGCCAGCAGTGAAACATTGGGGAGCAGAGTTCCGTTTTCATTGGCGGAGTTCAAATAGGTCATGGCCAGAATGCCCCGGTGCAAATGGAGATCAGATTCTTCTGACAATCAAACCATGGCTGCAGCGCGGATTGTAGCAGCCTGGTCTGCCCGTGCCCCAGCACCCAGCCACCTCTTTCCTTTTGGGAAGTGGTTACGTGGTCTGAGCGTGCCAGCACCTTGCACAGAACACGGAAAGCTGTGTTTGTGCTGCTGTTGCCAGCAGAAAGCAGGCTGGGGACGGTGGGCTGAGGAGGCTGCTCCCTGTGGCTCCGGGAAGCAGGAGGTGACACAGGAGATGCTGGTGCTTTTTGGGGGCTTCTTTGAAGGTCCCCAGCAGCTTCAGGGCTGTCTGTCCCTGCCAGGGAAGGACAAAGCCACCGGCTCTTGGTTCACACACAGGGGCACTGGGTTTGGGAGAGGTGAAAGCCCCCAGGGCTGATGGGGAAGGTGACCCCAGCCAGGCATGGGCTGCGGCGCTGCTCCGGGGAGGCTCTTACCAGCAGCTGATGCATCAATCACCACTGGAGCCCGTGTAGGGATGGGTCAGGAGAGGGTGACCTTCCCCAAAGGCCCCTGTGTGGGGCTCAGGGGTTTGGGTTGTCCCCAGGAAGCAGTGGGGTGGCTGGAGAATAGCTGTGAGAGGCTCCTGAACCCCACGTGCAGCCCCTGCATCCCACCGTGTCTGTGCTCTCGGGTGCAAAAGCACCTTCATTCCTATTTAATGGTAACAACGGCCACATCTGCAAAACATCTGCAGCCAGAGGAGTGATTATGGAGCCTCCATTACCGGGGATAACGGGATAACAGCCCCTGTGAAAGCTGCAGGTCCAGCTCGCTGCTGGGCTGGAGCAGGTCCCGCTCGTGCAGGAGGGTTCGGATGCTCCATGTCCCCTGGGGCTGTCGGTGCTGCTGGGGCTGGAGGCCAGTGCAAGGCTGCACGCGGGTTGGTTAGGATGGATCAAATCAGTACAGGTTCACAAGCAGAAGTCCTGACACTGGGTAAGGCTGTGCAGAGTGCATGAATTCCAGCACTGCAGCGCACTGTGGAGAAGCGCTTCTCCAGACTGGGAGCTGTTACCCAGAGCAGTTCAGACCCAATCCAAGAGTGGCTCAGTGCTTTAATCCACCCTGGGATGTGTTTTTCTCTGCACAACTGACAGACTCAAGGCCAGGCCTTTGCTTGTTGGTTTGGGGCTAAACCATCCACTTCTCTTTTTTCCTTCCTTTGCTACCCGGAGACCACGTCTGATGTTGGCAGCTCCGGGAAGCTTCACATCCTCTTCATCAAACGCGAGCGCTGTGCTTAAAGACGGCATTATTTAAATTAAAGATGTGGGATTTATTATCTTCTACCCTTAATGCACAGCGCTGCTGTGTTAAATGATGCTCTGAGCATGGGGAGAGCTTTGGGCCCTTGGTTTTGATGCTGGTGCCGGTCCTGGTCCAAGGCATCTCCACCTGGCACATCCCCGCCGCCGATGCCGTTCGCCTTTAAGCTTTCTCACCCATTATTGCAGCATGTAATTTAAACAGAAGCACTTTAGAAGTCAACTAATTAGCACCAGGGAGGCATCCCCCCCGGAGTTCGGCGCCGAGCCGTGCCCTCCTTTCTGCTGCTAGATCCTTCCAGATACACATCGCAGCGGCTGCAGCGCTTAGGGCAGGCGAGCGGCTCTGGAGCCGGAGCAGGGAGGGCAGAGCAGGCACTGGAGCCCCATTGCTCAGCAGGAGGCACGGGGTGGATGGTGCCGGTCCAGCCGGGGCTGGGTGCGTGGCGGGCAGCAGGCAGGGGCTCGGCACAGGTCGGGTTTGCTGCTCGCCGGCCCATCTGGCCGCGTCCCCGCGCACCGCAGGGGTGACAAGTGCCAGGGCGGCACCGGCTGGCGCAGGGCTTGGTTGTTGGATCCGGCCGCGTCGTGGGCGTGAGCCGAGGCTGAGGCTCAGCTGCATGAGGATCTGAAGCGTCTCCCCTTTGTTCCCACTGCCGTACCCTGACAAATGGGAAAGGACCGGAGCTTCTCCCGGCATTTTCGGTACGTGTCCGCGCGTGGTGCTGGCTGTGGTGGGAAATGTCCCCGCGATGTCCCTCGCACGAGGCGGTGTCGTGGAGGCTCATCGGGAGCTGCTGGGGGGAGTTGAGTGAAGCTCAGGTGGAAAATTGGGGTGGGAGCTGGGGGGAGGCGGGAAGAGCCCATCTGGGTCTGCTTTGTCTCCATCACTGTGGTCCGGCAAAGGACGGGTGGTGAGGATGCGGTTTGGGGGTGCTGCATGGTGCAGGGGGTGATGGAGCGAGCATTGGGGTCCTCTTGCTCCCAGCCCTGGCTGAGCACGAGCTCTGAGCAAACTTGGAGCTGCTTCTACCTGCTCCCACCAGGGCTGGAGCCACCACCACTGTCCCGCTCAAGGGGATGCGGCTGGCACTGGTGAATCTCAGCACCCAGCATCCCAGGGCAGCACCGTCTGCATGAGCTGGGTGCCCATCACAGGACTTCCGCGCCTGTGAAAGTGGTTTTCCATGGTGTGGGGTTGTCAGCGAGCACAGGCTGCAGGAACAGGGATGTTTGTCCAGAGGGGAGCTGCAAGGGGCCTGTCTTGGATTTCAAAAGCAGTGAGTGTGACTAAGACCAAGATGAGAGCCAGAGCAGGGAGCTGAGTGGATGGGGACCATCCTGCAGCATTGTGCTGCTGCCCCAGCGGGGCTGCTTCTGAGGAAGATCGAAGGCAAAGCATCCTGCAGCCTCTGGAGCCTCTCCTGGACTGGAAATGACCCTGAATTCACACTCAGAGCATGGGCTGGGGATGCTTTTCCCATCCCTTTTCCAACAGAAAACAGAGCCAGGGCTGACCTGGAGCACCTGAGGAGGAGGAAGAGGAAGCTGAAGGCCAGAGGTCAGAGCTGCACACATCCCAAGCCCTCCCTGTCTGCCCAAACAGGGTGGGCGCATCCATACTCCCTGCATCCCAGTGGGATTTGCTGGGAGAGGGAAACCCCATCTGGGTGCTGCTCCTCAGTGCCACGCTGATGGGCAAAGGCAGGTTTATCCCATGGGATTGCAGGGAGGTGCAGAAATAGCCATGTTTCCTCATGAAGCACTAGGCACTGTGCTGGAGCAGAGGACAGGCTAAAGCACCAACGCTGTCTAATGACATCCCATGTGCTACCTTTGGAGGGTCTCTTGTTCAGGACCAGACCTTGGCAGCCACAGCTCAGAGGCATCCCCTGCTGAAGCACAGGGTGTCGGGAGCTTGGGGGTCCAGCACCCAGCAGCACTGCGGCTCCTCTCAGAGGGTTTTGCAGAAGGAAACCCTTTTGCATGCTTTAGTGGGATTATTATTACCAATGAGCTCCTCTCCTTGCTAAGGCACCGCTTTACCCCTAGCACTGAGTCAGTTCATCCCTAAAGCCCGTCCTTCGCCTGGTTATGGAGCTGAGCCGTACTTCACTCCTCAGCCCCGATGTCTGCATCAGGCAGCTCAAAGTGGGGCAGCCCCGCTGCAGCGAGCAGGGCAGCTTAATTTGGCCAGCTGAAATGGGAACGTGCCGGTTTTCCCTGCAAGGAACCCGGACTTCTCCCTGGTGGGAGCCCAGCATGGGCCAGAGGTGTGGGATCCGGCCGGGACTCACTGCTCCCCTGCATCCTTCCCCGCCACAGGGCTGCGGTCCCATAGGAGCCTGCTCACCGCTGAGTTTGGAGCATCCGTTGGCATCACCTCACTCTTTTCTAGTTGCTGCTTGATCACAAAGTGATTGTGAATTGTACCAGCGTGTTGCTTATTTTAAATCGTCACCAAATGCTTTGTGGGAGCGTATGCCAGGCTCGGGATGGTGGCGATCTGTTTGCTCCCACTCATCAGAGCTCATTGTGAGTTCTGCCTTTTGTTGGGGGAAAACAGACATGTCCTGGTCACAGGAGGTTTAGGGTTTGAAGCTTCCCCTTCCTTCTCCTCTGGCTTCAGCCAGGCTTTTGGGTTCCTTTGGTGACACTGCCTGAGGAAGGGGACCGATGCCAGCCCCAGCCTCTCCAACCACTTTCATTGCATCCAATGCGGCCCCGTAAAGCAAGGTGCTGTGGGTCCTGTGACACTGAGTTTGCCCCAGTTAATGCTCCCCAGGGGATGAGGACCCCGGGCAGTTTGAGGTGATGCTCACATCCCTCCCGCAGCACAAGTGTCTGGGTTTGTGCTAATGTAGGGAGCGCGTCCTCCTGCACCGCGAGGTGATGAGCACTAACGAACCGCACAAGATGCTATTGTCTAACGCAGCTGCGAGGAGCAGCCCGGTGTGGAGTTGCTATAGAAACACCCGGAGATAACAGCTCCTCCTGAAGCCCCAAAGTGTGCAAACGGGAGGTGGGAGGAGGTGAGGGGGTGTCGGTGTCTCACTGTTGTGGTGGCAGAAGGGAAAGGAAAGGTGTCTCGGGGTGTTACAGAGGTGACATCCTGGCTGAGGTGGGAGCAGTGTGGATGTGCCCTCCTCCCAGGATCCCACTTTGCATCCACTGAGGGTTCAGGGGTCCTTTCAGGGGGCACAAGGGCCACTTGGCTGCTGGCACAGCAGCTCCTACCAGGCGAGGGGGGGGGTGACCTGAAGCAGAGCAAGTTCTCAGTGCTGTCCTCTTGTCTGCAGCATCCTCATCCCCGCAGCATCAGCATCTCACAAGGGGTGTGAGGGTCCTTCCTGGCCATAGCAGGAGGGTGGCAACAGCCAAGGCTGGAGCCAGGGAATGTGGAGTCCTGTCTGGACTGTTTGAATCTGTCTCAGTGTTGTGGAGAGGTCTGACATCCTCACCCTGCTGGAGCCGTGCACGAGATGGGGCAAGAGATGCCGCTGGCATCCCTGGTGTCCCCAGCATCCCTGGTGTCCCCAGCATCCCTGGTGTCCCCGGCATCCCTGGTGTCCCCAGCATCTTTGGTGTCCCCAGCATCCCTGGTGTCCCCAGCATCCCTGGTGTCCCCAGCATCTTTGGTGTCCCCAGCATCCCTGGTGTCCCCAGCATCCCCATCTCTGCGAGGACTGAGGCCAAGGGCGCAGGAGGAGCCGGCGCTCCCAGTTACAGCTGGATCCGGAGCTCCGGGCCACATCTGCCCCGCTCTCCTCACTCCTTCCCTGGGGTCACTCTTGCAGGATCTTCATCCCCAAGAAGCACCGGCAGCGGTTCGACGAGGTGGTGTCGCAGAGCCTCATCAGCAAGCTCTGCCGCTCCAAGAGCCAGCAGCACAGCCACCGCCTGCGGCGCAGCCGGAGCGAGGACCACCAGGAGCGGCTCCTCGTCTCCACCCGCGCCAGCTCCGTGCCCCGCAGCCACGAGGAGCTCAGCAAGAGCCTGCGCAAATCCACCTCGCTCCTCACCAGCAATGTGGCCTCGGGGGCTGCCCGCAGGTAACACGGCTCCTGCGGGCCCCTGGGCTCATGGAGGCAGCCTCCGGTTCTGTGTGGAGGGATGGCAGGGAAAGGGGATGCCTTTGGGGTGAGGAGCGGGTGGAATCCAACAGGGATGAGGATGACTGGGCATGTTTGTGCTCCTTGTGCTAGCTCTGAGCCATTCTTTCTGTCCCATCGCTTTCGCAGGGTGGGCTGGGATGAGCCACAGGAGGAGCTGAGGTGGCACTGGCAGGGTGTGAGGGGATGCTGGCTTCTGTGACAATGGGATGTGGGGTACTTTGATGTGTCAGTGGGATGCAGGGTACCTGGATGTGTCATTGGGATGCAGGGTACCTGGATGTGTCATTGGGATGCAGGGTACCTGGATGTGTCATTGGGATGCAGGGTACCTGGATGTGTCAGTGGGATGCAGGGTACCTGGATGTGTCAGTGGGATACAGGGTACCTGACAGTGCTGGTGGGATGCAGGGTACTTCGATGTGCCATTGGGATGCAGGGTTCATGGATGTACTGGTGGGACGCAGGGTACCTGGCTGTGCCAATGGGATGCAGGATACGTGGCCGTGCCAGGCACCTTGGCACAGAACAGGCTGTGCTGTCCTGTCCTGCCCTGCCCCAGTGAGTGTCTGTGTTTGAGGCCATGGGAGGAAGGACGAAAGAGGGACAATCCCTGGTGCACAGGGGATTGACCCATTTCCCACTGCTCATATGGCCAGAGCTCAGCTGGCGGTGCCTCCTGCTGCATTCCCAGCAGGATTTGCTCTGACAGCACAGCTGGGGAATCCTCCGGGATGGGCAGTGCTGCCACAGGCATGCCCCGAGCTATTCCCCTGCCTGCAGCTGGTATCTGCAGGGAGTTCAGCAGCATCCCACCTCCTGCCAGGGTAATTTTTGGTGTGACTGGTCCAAAATCCAGCTCCGGCACAGTCTCCTTTCCTGACAGCGCAGGATACAGCCCTACAACAGGCTCTGTGCTTGCAAATGATCTCAGCAACGTTGCTTCCCCCCAGCTTCCTGCAGGGAACAACTCCCAGCTCCAATCAGCCTCCCAGCAGGGTGATTTCCTAATGCTCCTTCCAAAATTTCCTAGTGGAATGTAATTCCTCTCTCATCAGCCGACGAGATCCTTGCCCCTGAAGCACGCTGTCTCCTGTTCTGGGCAATATACAAGCTGTATCCCACGTCCCACTTTAAAACCACGTTGGATTTGAAGGGCTGGATGGTGGATTTATACGTTCAATATTTAATGTAGAGTCAAAGTCCATGCGCAGGGGCTTTGCCCTAAAGAGCTGTTGTCTCCTCCAGACCCTCCAACCTCCCCATGCTGGAGCCCTGGTTAATGGATGTTCAGCTTTAGCTTGCAGACAGCAGTAACTGGGTCTAAAGGAGCCCTCCAGAGCTCCAGCATGGGTGGCCTGGTCCCAGTGGGGACTGCATCTGCCTCAGGGCTGCGGTGATAGCACGTAAGGGATGGCACCTGCATCCCTCCAGCCCTCCCCAAGGCGATGCCAGGGCTCTGGAGGGGCTGGGGCACGGAACAAGAACCAAGCACTGGGCTCTGGTTTCACCCTTGCTTTTCCCCTGCAGAACTGTGCGGGTCTATAAAGGCAACAGAAGCTTCGGCTTCACGCTGCGTGGCCATGCCCCGGTGTGGATCGAGTCTGTGCTGCCAGGTAAGGAAACCCCCAGCCACCGGATTCAGGCACTGATTTATCTGGGGTCTGAATTGCAAGCTTTCAGTACCTGCTGTTGGCTGGAAAGGGGCAAAAGTAACTGGTGCCTTTGGTGCATTTTGGTCTGGCTTGAGGCACTTCCTGCCTTGAAAGGTGGGAAACGTTCCATGTGCAGTGAATAGCCTGGAATCATACCTGCATTTCCAATGCAAGCTGGGTGCTGGCATCACCATGCCCAGTGAATGGCCCCAGCCCACTCAGATAATCCAGCTGCCGTGGATTCCCTGCTCCAGGGGGGGCTTCCCTGGCCATGGAGCAGTCGGAGAGCTGGGACCCATCCCTGTGAGCAGGGATCTGCCAGCTAAAGCCCCTCTTGTTCCCTGTGGATTTAGGGAGCCCAGCGGAGAAGGCTGCCCTCAAGGCTGGAGACCGGATCCTATTCCTCAATGGCCTGGACATGAGGTAGGAGGCTCTTTAGAAGACCTGTGCCAAGGGCTCCTGGGGTGGAAGGTGGCCAAGCGCCGGCATCTTCATTGTTCACTCCTGTGCAACCCAAGTGAGACCTGGTGATCCCTGAGAGCTCTCTGCTGAGGTGCACGGGGGGGTTGGCCCATGTGGACCTCTCCTTTAACATCCCCTTATGAAAACTGGCTCTGCGAGTGGTGTTTCAGCTCCATCCCTGCTCCTCCTTTGACATCTCTGTTCCAGTAACCATGTACAATGCATGGCACTGAATGCAACTGGTGTCCTGACTGCAGCCCACCCCAGACCCTGATCCGAGCCACTGTGGGTTATGTTGTGCATGTTAAAGCCCTGGGGCTCTGCTTTTGAAAGCAGCAGAGCACCAGCCAGCCCATGGATCGCTCCCCTAACGGGATCATAAACTTAGAACCATGGGCAATGCATTTCCACCCAGAAGTTAATGCTTCTGTGTGTTATTTACTCACAGCAATCAAACCAGAGGTGAGCGTGCACCCCCCCAGCAGCCCGTGTGTCCTCGGGCTGGGCTTTCCACCCAAAAAGCAAGAGCAAAGGATGAGAGGAGGCTGCAGGATGAGAGTGATGAATATTTAAAGGTCAAACATCTGACGCTGCTTCTGTCAGTGCTCAGGTCCTCACGTTTCAGCTGAACCAGCACACTCGGGGCTGATGCAGCACTGCCAGGGAATAGAGGAGAAACGAGCTGAAGTTTGTCCTCTGCACAGGCACTGTCCCAGGCCGGCCCGTACCCTTTTCCAAGGGCACTCTGAGACGGTTTTGCCTACAAAAATACATTTTACACCCACCTTGCGTTTTCCTTTGCTGCAGAATTAGGCCAGGCAAGGAGAGACCCGCGGCACGGCACCATTGAAATGAGAAGCTCATCTTCTGTGTCTGAGCGCAGCTTAAAGTACCACCGGTTCAGTCGCAGGGCGTGATTGAGGCTCTCCTCTGTGCAGCACAGATAAAACCAAGCACAGATTGAGAGTGTGGGGGGGTCAGAGTGGGGCTCAGCGCTGCCTGGCTCTGAGCAATGAGAGGAGGCTTTCTGTAAGACAAAGAGAGGTGGCTGCAAGCTCTGCTTCAGTGCTGCTCTCACTGAGCTGCTGCCCACAGCACTGCCCTAACCCTGCCTCTCTGTGTCCCCAGGAACTGCTCCCATGACAAGGTGGTGTCGATGCTGCAGGGCAGCGGGGCGATGCCCACCTTGGTGGTGGAAGAGGGGATCGTCAACTTCTCCAACGGTAAGAGCCCAGGGAGGAGGGTTTGGGGCTGCAGGACCCCCTCGCTGGATCTCCAACTCCAATTCCCCCCGGTGGGAATTGCCAAGCAGCTCCCACAGGCTCAGCAGGTTCAATGCACTGCCTGGAGCGCCGCTCCCCTCGCCTGCTTCCTGGGATCAGGCTCGATCTCCGGCTTGGCTGCTCTATGGAAGGGTTCACCCTACTGTGTGATCGCCCTTGACAGCCTTTGCCGACGTCCTTTCCGTGCCGTGTACTTGACCGCAGTAACCCAACCCTGTGCATCCATGGCCGCTGCGCAAACCCCTCGTGGTGTGTGGACGTTGCTGCTCGGCGTAGCTGCTGCTGGATGAATAATTCAGCTGCTGTGGTGAGCACAGCAGCAGCAGGGGAGGGCGGCCGGGGCCAGGCGGGTGCCTGTCAGCACCGCTTGAGCAGAGGGACAGGACCACAGGCCAGGGCAGAGCGCGGTCACCGCTGCGTTTCCAAAGGCAGGAGGGGCGGTGTGTTATTGGGATGCTGCTCCACAGCGCGGGCATTAGGGTCTGGCTTTTCCCTCTGGAGCAGAAATGGGCTCTCCAGAGCTGCACCTTAGGAGCCCTGTGATGCCAACTCATTGGTATGTGTGCTAGGAACAAACCTGAGCACCTCACTACTTAACACTGCCGAGCAGTGGCACCCAAACTGCTTCACTGCCTCCCAGAAGTAACCAAGGAAAGATGGATTTTTTTTTCTCCTGCTACTTTAGTCCTATTCCTAAGTGGATAAGCACATCCCATGGATATTCCTATATGGATAAGTGTATCCCATGGTCTCGGTCAGGTCCCTTTTTGCAGCTGCATTGCCCTGCACTCACTGCAGAGGCAGCACAGTGACCTGTCCAGATGAGCCTGGAAAAGCAAAAGCCCTTCCAAGCCTCAGTTCACTCAGAGGTAACCCTCGACTGATGCTGCTTTTGAAGTCAATGATTATCATAAAGTACTTTAAAACATGAGCAGAGGCTTTAGAGAGCCAGAGAAGGGACAACATCTGCATGTGCTCACAGAAAATGGGAAGCAGCACGGGTGAAGAGATAGATCCCAGAGAGCATCCCTGTCAAAATATCCCAGCTCATGCCCAGCAGATCCTACTGGAGCAGCCACGAGCTCCAGGGAGCTGGTCCAGGAAGGCAGGGGCAGTCACAGCTCCAGATGAGCCCTTCCACCTTGTCCCCATGCTGCCTTCCAGTGCCTGAAACCTGCTTGTTTCTACCCTGTGGCCACAACCTCTGTGTCAGCACATCAGGATTTGTATTTCTATGGGGCTGAGGCTCCACGCCCTGAGGTCTCCCTTATCCGAGGCATTTAAGTGGAGGACCAGGAGGTGGAGCCCAGGGTGTGTGAGTGTTTCGGCTGCAGGCAGGGACTGGGGGCACACAGACAGGACCGACCGTCCCCCGCCCACTGACCAAACCCGGTTGTGTTCACCTGCCCCGGCATCCCCAGCTCGGCCCCTTGGTTTCAGGACCAGCCTTTAAACCCGCGGTGGAGCCTCCGTTTGTTCAATTGTCTCTCCTCTCTCTACCCGCGCCCTGCAGACTCGGACGCTGCCGACTCCCCGAGCAGCTCCTCCGCGCTCACCTCCCTGCAGTGGGTGGCAGAGATCCTCCCCTCTAGCATCAAGATCCAAGGACGGACCTTCACGCAGCAGCTGGAGCATCTGCTGACCCCCCCTGAGCGTTATTCGGTCTGCAAGGCGCTGGAAGGCTTCTTCCAACATCGGTAACTCGGCAGCAGCTCCATCCCTCTAGTGCTGGTACCCAGCCTGGTAGTGATGCCCAAGCAGAAGGCAGACCCCTTTGCTGGCAGCACATCCCTAAACCCCTCACGGTGACCCTGCTCCCCTGTGCTGCAGGCTCTCTTGCTCTCTGGCTGTTCCCAACAGCCCCGTTCCACCTCTTCCAGTGAATTCCCAGCGTTTCATCCTCGTGTTCTCACTCTGAGCAGCTCAGCAGCAGCACGCCCTTGGTGGCAGTGCGGGAATGCTTGCGGCTGGCAGAGCCCTCACCCTGTGATGGAGCACACGCTGCTCTGCTGCAAGGGTTGAAACTGATCCCTTTGCAGACTCCAGGCTTTCGGTAGTGCCCTTGTTTCCTGCCCTTGATCTTTAACCTTCCTGCACCACAGTGAAGGAGCCACCCCTTCGGTGCTGGGTGATGCTTCTGCCTCTTCCCACAGAGCTGGGCTGTGCTACTCCTCAGGAGCCTGGGTCCCACTCGGGATGCAGATGGGCTGCCGCTGTGCCTGCGCTGCTGGGGAAGGCAGCAGAAATCATTGCCTGTGCTCTCCTATAGGGCTCCTCAGCTGGGTATTTCAGCCTGAGGAGCAGCAGCTGTGAGAGCAGATCCAGTCCCTGGGGTCTGCAACTGGGAAATACAGACCTGATCCTAGCAGGATATTTGCTCTTGCTCAAGCAGCAAAAGGATGAACCCCAGTAGCACAAGCCAAGCCCCCAGGCTCCCATCCCATCCCAGGACAGGGCAGCACACATTGCTTGGTCTTCCAGCAGTGTTTTACCTGCTTCCCACCCCAGAGCTGCTGGCTGTGGGGATCAAGGATGCTTCCTCTTGTCCTGTTACTTATTTCTTGGGAAAAGAGAGTGACCCACCTCACTCCATCCTCCTGTCAGGCAGTTGTAGGCAGCGATCAGGTCCCCCCTGAGCCTTCTCTTCTCCAGACTGAACCCCCCAGGTCCCTCAGCCATTCCCCATCACACCTGTGCTCCAGGCCCTGCACCAGCTCCATTGCTCTTCTCTGGCCCTGCTCCAGCACCTCAATGTCTCTCTTGTCACGAGGTCCCAGTAATGAGCACAGGATTCAAGGGGCGGCCTCACCAGTGCGCAGTGCAGGGGGACAATCATTGCTCTGGTCCTGTTGGCCATGCTGATACAGGCCAGGATGCTCTTGGCCTTCTTGGCCACCGGGACATGCTGCTGGCTCATCTTTACCTGCTGTGGGCCAATGCCCCCAGGTCCTTTTACATAGGCACCTTTCCAGCCACTCTTCCCAAGCCTGGGGCATTCCATGGGGTTGTTGTGACCCAAATGCAGGACCCAGCACTGAGCCTGGTGAACCTCAGCCATCAACCCAACCTGTCCTTCCCTAGCACCAGGTTTTATCCCTGGCTGCCAGGTGCTGCTGATCACCCCTTAGCCCCAGCTGCACAACTCCACTTCCCAAAGGGCTCATCCCTTCCTTATAGTCCAACACCTCTGGAATGATCCGTTTGCATCAGTGCCCAATGGCAGAGCCCCAGCAGAGCCCAGGGGAGCGGGGCTGTGCTGTAGGGATGCGCTCACTGCCCAGCCCTCTCTTTCCCGTCCTGCAGGAACATTGACACTCTCATTGTGGATGTGTACCCGGTGCTGGACACACCGGCCAAGCAAGTCATCTGGCAGTTTATCTACCAGCTGCTGACCTATGAGGAGCAGGAGCATTGCCAGCAAAAGATTGCCAGGTTTCTGGGTTACAAGTCCTTGGAAGGTGAGGAAAGCCCCTGCACTCCAACACGGATGTGCTGTGTCCCACCAGGTCCATGGGGACCGTGGTCCATCACGCTGGGAGCCAGCTGCAGCCTGGCTCCTGCCCATACACTGCCCTTACACGTGGGATGTAGAGCAGCACAAAGAGGTCTCCAGCTCCTGTCACTGATGAGGTTGATCTGCAGATGTCAGGCAGGAGGTCACCTTTTCTGTACCTTGTGGTCTTGGAAGGAAACAGCATTGAGAGGGGAGATGACACCAGAGATGGTGTCTTCAGGAGCAAAGGCTTTTGGAAGCTGAGGAACACGGGGTTTGCAGTCAGACAGCAGAAAAGTGAGGGCAAATTTGGGCTGAAATAGCTTAACCTTTGGATTCAGACTTCTTAATTGCTTTCAAATTTGTCTATTCCAAGCTGTTTACATTGTGTTGAGGTGTTTAATCCAGACTCAACGTAGGTAAGAAGAGGGGATGCTTCAGGAGAGACCTTTGGAGGAGCACAGTTATTGTAGCACAGCCTTTCCCCTGGTGCACATGGAAACCTGTTGGGTATTTGCTCACCTCATTTATACTCTCAATTACCACTGTGTGTGCAGAATCATGCCGCAGCCTACCTAATGTGTTGTAGGACTTAGACCCTACAATGAGTTTATAAACCTCAGAGCAGAGGGAACCTGATGTATTTTGCTCCTTTCAGCTTCTCAGGTGAAAGGGGCAACCTCAGACCATGTGGAGCTCTGGTTGTTCTGATGCATTGTGTGTGTGTCCATGCGGGGAAGCCCAACGACCAGAGATCTCTGAGTTTGGGTTAGTCCTTTACCTGGGCTTCTTCCAAACAACGATCATCTCTGGTGCTTGTGTGCACCGGGCTGTCCACGCACTGGTCTGTCAGATACCATGGAGCCTGATGCTCCGGTATCTTCACCCCGCTGTAAGCCTGAGCCCTGATCTGCACATGGACCAATCCATCACACACCGTGGGTCTTCCAGGCACCATTTCAGGGCTGGCCCTTTCTCCCTTCCTGAGGGCAGGAAGGCACCAGGCAGGTCCCTCTGGACCAGCCGAGCTCAGGGCTGGAGTTCATGTGCCCCGCAAGCTGTTGGATGCCAATCCCGCTGGATAAAGCCACCCCATGTCCTGTTGGAGTGCGGGGGGAGCCCCGGGTCATGGCGAGGGGCCGGGGGAGCCGCGGGGTCCGTGCCTCACAGGGATGTTCTGTGCCGCAGCGGAGCCGGAGGCAGAGGAGCGGTACCGCAGCTCCGTGCGAGGAGCCTCTGTGTGCAGGGGAAGCCTTCGGACCCCCCGCCCCGAGGATGGGGCCGCAGGTGGGTACAGGGGGGGCCCCCTGGGGAGGAAGGAGCTGGGTCCCGCGGGCTCCGCTGTGCCCAAGCCGCCGTCCTGGTCCCGTCTAAGCAGGAGCGGTGGGGAAAGGTGAAGTGAGCATCGAGCCAGCCCAGGGCTCGGGTGTCCTGGCTCCTGCCTGGTGGCTGCGGGTAACGTGAATCCGTCCGGCCTGCCCTCCAGTGGCTTGGGAAAGGCCGGGATTGCAGGCTTCGTCCTCCCCATCAGTGCCTCACATGCCCTTGGTGATAAATTGGGTCTCTGAGAGCTTACACTGCTGCAGCATCGGTCTCTGAACATCCACCCCCTGGATGCAATGGGAACAACAGTGTTACCTGGAGCTGGTCAAACCAGCGTCACTCCTTGTGTCTTCATGGGGTCAGGATCCCCCTCCCTCCTCATGTGCCCTGCAGAGCCCTGCCTCAGGGACACTGCTGGGGTGGCCGGTGCTGAGTGGGCATCTGCAAGTGAAAGGATCAGATCTGGGACTCTGAAGCCTCCATGCTGCATGTGGTGACCCCTGTCCAGCACCTACCAGGGAGGTTGAATGAGAAGGAACCATAAAGGAACACCCAAGGCACGGCGGTGTCTCAGGGTCCTGAGGGTTCTCAGCATAGCACAAAGTCCTGCACGTGCCCTGGATAATTCTCTTGCCCTGAAATACTGCGACAGAAACTCCGTGTTTGGACCATCCCCTGTGTGCAGCACTCCTGAGGAACACAGTGACAACACCATGGTCACAGCGCTGCTCTGGTGCTAAGGATTTACAGGCACCTTCAAACCTACCAGTTGGGTGGACTCAGAGGCGAGAGGTTAAGGGCAAGGCACAGGAGGACTTTTGCTCCCTCGCACTTGCTTCCCAGCACACATGATGCCTCTTTGCCGGGTGACTCCTGCTGCCACGCAGGGGAGCTGCAGTAAGACGTTCCCTGTTTCACACAGCCCGTGCACGGGGCCATCACTTGCCCTATGTCAATCCCTTGGGATCCCCAGACCCGGCAGCTCCGGGTGCTTCACCATGTGCTGGGTCCCAGTAGGAGATGGGGGAACCTTGACGGGTCAGGGGCACCATGGGGCACAGGCAGAGGGGGGTCCCTGATTGGTTTGTCTCTTCCTTCCCTTCCCCACAGGCCAGAGCGACACCGTGGAGGTCCCGGTTCGGCTGATCCCTGGGGAGAGACAGGCTGGAGACGGCACATCCCTGCCGGAGACACCCAACCCCAAAATGGTGCGATGCCCTTGGCCGACCTGTGCGGGACCGTCGCGTTCACAGCACCAGCAGTTTGACCCCTTTAGTGTTAATGCAGGAAAGCAGAGGAAAGGGAATGGGAAAGGATGTGCCCATGTAAATACCTGCCGGTGGCTGCAGCATCCCTGCCTCAGATCTCACCTCTGAGATCACTTCCCTGGGCAATTAGACAGCTTTAACTGGTGTCTGTCAGCATCCTCCTGCTGCCTTGTGAGGCTCTTGGGGAACAGCTTTGGGGTGGGTGAAGCTCTCTATTAAAGAGCTGGGGGTCCGCTGTGGCTGTCCTGTCCCCATCGCAGGTCCCTGGGGTCTCCACAAGCCCTGTATTGATTCAGGCATCAACAGCAGCTCTTTGCCTGGTTTGCAGATGTCAGCCGTCTACGCAGAGCTGGAAAACCGCCTGCTCAGCAGCTTTGCTGGCAAGATGGGGAGCACTGCCCGGCACAGAGCATCGCCTCCTGCGCCGGAGCTGCCGCACGCTACAGGTGAGCATCAGCTCCCCATGGAGACAGGCAGTGCTGGGGGGCTCAGCAGCGGTGGCTTGCAGCTACCCCTCGGTGCGGTTATAAGGAAGCAGTGATGGTGCCACGCTCGAGCTCCCGCAGAGCTGCACCTGCAGGGTCCCTCCATGCTGCTCTGCCCCGCAGGCTCTCGCAAGTCGGTGATCTCCTGGCCCAGCGACCCGGCGTCGTCCCAGCAGTGCTACTACCGCCTGCACAGCAGCGTGGCCTCCCCGAGCAGCACCGAGTCCAACCCCTACGTCAGCCTCGACAGCAGCCCGGCCCCGTCGCCCCGGCACCGCCACTACGCGCCCAGCCCTCTGTCGCGACGGAAGAAGCTCTTCACCTTCTCCAGGCCCCCGCGCAGCCGCGACACCGACCGCTTCCTGGATGCCCTCAGCGAGCAGCTGGGGCACCGGGTCACCATCGTGGATGATTTCCTCACCCCTGAGAATGACTACGAGGAGGTGAGCGTGGCGCAGGGGTGATGGTCTCTGCCCCCTGGTCTTTGCCCTGGCTGTGGAGCCGCCCATGGGCAGCCTGCACTGGGATGGATGCGCAGCCTGCACTGGGATGGATGCGCAGCCTGCACTGGGATGGATGCGCAGCCTGCACTGGGATGGATGCGCAGCCTGCGGGGCTCCGTGATGGCAGAGGGAGGGATGCACAGCACAGGGCAGGACCCCGACGAGGTCCCACCTTCATCCTCTGCTCTCTCCATCACCAGATGAGTTTCCACGATGACCAGGGCAGCTACGTCACCAACGACGTCAGCAGCAGCGAGTACATCAGCAGCAGCGACGAGGGCAGCTCCCTCACCTACTCCACGCTGTCGGACCACATCCCCCCCCCGCCGCTCAGCCCCCCCCCTCCACCGCCCCCCTTGCAGTTCCATGACCCCCAGGCTGTCCCCGCCAAGGCCGAGGCCACAAAGACGGTGCCAGCGCCGGCCCCCAAGTCCCTGCTGAGCCACCTGCAGCCCATCCCGCCCCCCCCGCCGCCGCCGCCGCCCCCCCCGGTGCCCTGTGCCCCCCCGCTGCACCGCGGGCTCCTGCACCGCCGCAGCGAGTCCAACCACATGAGCGTCAAGAGGCTGCGGTGGGAGCAGGTCGAGAACTCGGAAGGGACCATCTGGGGGCAGGTATGGACGTGGAGGGGGCGATGGGGTGAGGGTCCATGTGGGATGGGGAAGGGCTCCTGGGCTGAGGCTGTGCAGGTCATCGGGAGCATCCCTGAGCACTGCCCAGGGCATGGAATCATGGAATGGTTTGGGTTGGGAGGGACCTTAAAGCTCCTCCAGCTCCAACCCCTGCCACGGGCAGGGACACCTTCCACTGGAGCAGCTTGCTCCAAGCCCCTGTGTCCAACCTGGCCTTGAGCACTGCCAGGGATGGGGCATGATGTCCTAACCCCTTGTTGGGCCACACATTCAACACCTTGGCCATGGGAGTGAACTCTAAAGATGCAACATTACAGAAAGTCTCATATGAGGGACAGGCCAAGGGGAATGGCTTTAACCTGCCTGAGGGGAGACTGAGATGAGCTCTTAGGCAGAAGCTCTTCCCTGTGAGGGTGCTGAGGCGCTGGCACAGGGTGCCCAGAGAAGCTGTGGCTGCCCCATCCCTGGCAGTGCTCAAGGCCAGGTTGGACACAGGGGCTTGGAGCAAGCTGCTCCAGTGGAAGGGGTCCCTGCCTGTGGCAGGGGTTGGAGCTGGAGGAGCTTTAAGGTCCCTTCCAACACAAACGTTCCCTGATGCTGTTTCTTCTCAACATTGGAATTGTCTGGACCCAACTGTGGTGATGACATCCCAAGGGAGGAGCAGCAGGGAGGGCTCTGTGGGTTCTGTTAAAGCTGAATGAAGGCTCCTGGGGTGCATCTCCAGGTTTGTTCCTCTCTTCTGGGTCCCACCACTTAGGTTTGGTGACTCCTGCGGAAGCCACCCCCATGGAGGTGACCGGTTCACCAGGCTCTGGTTTCTGCCCAGGGTTTGCGATGGCCGAGTCTCCAGCGCCACCGACCTGGCCTGGGTTCCTTAGGGACATGGAGCTCAGCTGGGGCGGAGGGAAGGCGGCCACTGGGCGCCATTGGGCAGCGGCAGGTATCCCTGCGGCTCCTGACTCTCCCTCCTCCTGCAGCTGGGGGAGGACTCCGACTACGACAAGCTCAGCGACATGGTCAAATACCTCGACCTGGAGCTGCACTTCGGGACGCAGAAGCCTACGAGTAAGTACCTGAGCCCCAGAACAGGTCCTGGTGCTGGCCAGAGACCGGGGCGCTGGGAGGGACTGGGGGGCAGAGGGGCAGTGTCTGGTCCCGGCATCGCCCAGCACAGCCTTTGCTCATGCTCAGCATTGTGCGGCTCAGCAGGTCATTAAGGGGGACATTGTTTCCCCATCTCCCTTAATGTCCCTGGCTGCTGTTCCCTGCGTTCTCCCCGCGTTCCAGCTGGTTGGGGCAGGAAGCTCAGCTGGAGTTTCTCTCCCCGTGCTGCTTCCCGGCTCTCACAGCACCGTTGCCATTGCAGTGCCCCCACACCACAGCAGAAGCTCAAACCTGCACCGTGCAGCAACGAGCTGGGCACAGCCTCTGCTTGCCGTGGGTCGCGCAGTGGGGACAGCCAGCGCCATGCACGGCCCTGCGGGAATGGCTGCAGTTGGGAAGGGAGTTGGAGCGTTGGGAACTCGGCCCTGAGAAAGCCACGAGAACATTTCCGTGCCCATAAAGAGCGTGACAAACAGCACTTCTCTTGTTGCATATATAATACGCTAGCTCCCCACAAGACCTATGTATGGGCTCCACAGCTACCGCACGTCCCCCCTCTTGCTCTTAAATAGGGGTCTCCTGCAGACCCATGGACTGAGGCATTCAGGGTGCAAGCAGAGAGCTCCTGTCCCCCACAGTATTCCCAAAGGGATCCATGGGGCAGCGTGGCTGCCGCATTTACACTGGGAAAAGCAAAATGCCAATGGGATGGCTGAGCTCTGCCATGATGGCAGCATGGGCAGAGCTAAGCCAGGATGGGCAGATACAGCTGGGAGCGGCAGTGGAAGTGGGATGAAATGGGATGCATCATTTTGGGGCTGTTTCTGGGCAGTCTGGGGTTTTCTGTGTGTCTCACCTCTCGTTTTGCCTTTTTCAGCTCCAACTGAGTCCTCCATTGAGGAGATCTTTGAATCGCTGAATTCAAGGACTCCCGGAGCCATTGCTGTGTGCAAAGCATCCCTTGTGTCACTCATGGTTTCCCTGTTTTCAGGACAGTTTTCTTCCCGCTGGAGCCGGCTGAGCCTGTCCTTACCCGTGATTAAATCTCTCAGTTTCTCTTCCAGAGCCAACTCTCATGCCTGAGAACTTTAAAAAGAAAGACGTGGTTGAGATTTTGTCCCACAAAAAGGCCTACAACACATGTGAGTAAAGATCAGGGTGAACCCAGCCCGAAACGGGCCCAGAGATGGGGCCGGGGATGTAGAGAACTGGAAAGGTAAAAGGAAGGAGGCCACATGAGCACAATCCCATGGGCACAATCCCTGCACGGCTCTGCTGCTTTAGGCTCTTCCCACAGCCTCCAGGCTGGGCTCAGCCCTGGGCAGGGGGAGGAAGCAGCGTTCACAATAAGGGATGGAGATGGGATGTGGCTCATTGGCATTGGGGGCAGAGGGACAGAGCCTGCATGGTCCCATGGAGCAGTGAGGGTGTGCAAGGGGCAGTGCTGCTTCTCCAGGATGTGCTTCTGATGTAAAGGAGCATGGAAGGGCTTGGTGGGACCCTGTGAGACCCAGGTCTCCTGTCCATGAGGGATGTGGGAGAGGAGGAGACGCGGGGGGGTGGCTTCCATAGCAACCCAGCCTGATGCACTGGGGATGTGCATGCACAGGATGCCATGCCCTGGGGGCGTCTGCAGGACCAGAGCCTTGGGGGGGGGACCTTGGGGTCCCTCTGCAGGGCTCTGGGGAGTGGGAAGCCCTTCTTTTCCCTAGGGATTACCCTGTGCCAGAGCGGGTACATGGAGCGGTCCACACCATTCACACCTTGAGCATCCCCTCCTGGCCCCATGCTGCTGGGTTCCCAACACAGCCATCCCCACCGGGGTCCTGTCCTCCTCCCCTCCAAGTGACATCCCTCCCTTCCCACAGCCATCCTCATAGCCCACCTCAAGCTCTCGCACATGGAGCTGCGCCAGATCCTCATGACGATGGAGACGGACCGGCTGGAGCCTTCCCACATCAAGCAGCTCCTGCTGTACGCGCCCGATGGGGAGGAAGTGCAGCGCTTCCAGAGCTACAAGGAGAACCCTGGGAAGCTGAGTGAGCCCGACCAGTTTGTGCTGCAGGTACCTGCGGGCAGGGATGTGCTCCAGGGATGTCCCTCTGGGGCTGGAGGGAGGGAAAGCACAGAGCAATCAGCAGGATGCTCCTGCACGCTGTGGGATGGGAAGAGCTGGTGGCACCGGTCACAGGGACCGCTGGGCACTGATGCTCAGGCTGAGGCATCCAGCAGCTCCCACTGCCGAAGCATCCCTTGATGTTTGCTCCATGACAGGAGTGACTTTGCCCAGCTCCTGGTGACAAAGTCACTTGTGGATATTGGCATGAAATGTCCCCATCCTGTGGCAGCAAACTGGCTGTGCCCTGCGAGTTCCAGCCACTGTCAGGCTGCTCCGTGTGGTTGCCTGTGCATGCTGCTCCCATGTACAGGGAAATACCCCAGGAAAAACACCCCAGAGGAGGGTTAAGGCTGATGGGGACAGTGGTAACCCTCCCCTCCTTTTGATCCCAGATGCTGTCAGTCCCAGAGTACAAGATCCGCCTGCGCAGCCTGCACTTTAAGACCACTCTGCAGGAGAAGACAGAGGAGATCAAGGCGAGCTACGAGTGCATCTGCAAGGCCTCTCTGGAGCTGAAGAGCAGCAAGAAGCTGGCCAAGATCCTGGAGGTCAGCACAGTCCTTCCTGCTCCTATGAGCCACCGGAGGCCATGGGAATGCCTGCAGGAGCCTGGGCATCGCAGGCACAGCTCCAGCCCCAGCGCTGTGGCCAGCACCTCTCCGGGTGCAGCTTGAGCAGCTTGCAGGAGAGAACAGATCCTGCTGCAGGGCTCCTTGACCCCACTGGCATCAGCTGCCCCACACTGATGTTCAATGGGGGTTTAAAAGCAGCAGGTGGCATAAATGAGGTCAAAATGTGACAAAGGCATTTCCAGATTAGTGGCACCTGGGCAGTAACCCCCAAGCTGGTTGCACGTTAATGGAAGGTGAACAGAGAGCCCCAGGCTGAAACCCCGATGGTCCTGAGGTCCCTGCTCCTTGCCAGGCCCCAGGAGGGATGCTGGGACTCGGGTGAGCCCGCTCTGCGGTCCTGATGTGCCTGCAAGGCTGCGAAGCTGCAGCAGAAGGAGCTGGAGCATTCTGGAGGGGAAAGCCGGCTCTGCTGGTCACTGTTCCCTTTGAAACACCCCCTTACAGATAAAAGTCACCAAAGGCTTTGGGGAGAAGAGAGCTTTGGCACTTGCCAGTGTGTACAGAACCAGCAGGAATTCTGCCTTTACGTGTATCCATCCGCCCAGTCTAACCCATTGAATGCACTGGTAATGTTTTATTACTGATGCTCTATGAACGCATCTAGGGGCCTCTTAGCAGAAGTGAGCTGGTCCAGAAGAGGCCCTGCAGACAGAGGGTGGCCTCTCAGCTCTGCTCCTACCACGTGGCTTGTCGGTCTCTGTGAGCCAGAAGGAGAAGGGACAATGTAAGTGCTGGAGGTCACTGCCCAGTCTCTCACTGGGGTTTCTCCCTGCAGTTTGTGCTGGCGATGGGGAACTACCTGAACAACGGGCAGCCCAGGACCAGCAAAACCACGGGCTTCAAAATCAACTTTCTCACTGAGGTAGGACAACGCGTGCCTGTTCTGTATAGGAGGCACCAATGCCGGGAGCTCAGAGTGCCTGTCCCTGTACAAGGGTCCCGGCTTGATGCTCAGGGTGGGCTCCAGGGAGGCTGTACCAGTGCTCTGATGCTTCAGCGTGCTGGGGCCTGAGACCCGTGCTCGCTGAGAGGCTGTGGGGCTGGAGAAACCAAAGGTCTTCATCCCACGTGGGCTGCTGTGGAGGATGGGGTGAGAGCATCAATTAGCACCTCGACACCACTCCTCTGGGTGTAACGTGCTGTCTAAACATTAAATGTCCTCTTTAACCATTAATCCACGTATCATGGCTGGTGTCACCACGCACGTGAAGGCAGGGTGAGCTGAGAGAACAGAGGAGCCCCTGTGCGTCCGGTGACCGACACACCGAGCGCATGGCAAACCCCACTCTCCTCTGCATAGGGACCTCCTGACCTGTTTTGCTTTGCTGCAGCTGAACACAACCAAGACCGTTGATGGCAAATCCACCTTCCTGCACATCCTTGCCAAGTCACTCAGCCAACACTTCCCAGAGCTCCTGGGCTTCGCCAAGGATCTTCCCACAGTGCCGCTCGCTGCCAAAGGTAAAGGGACGAAAGCATCTGTGAGCCCCGCGTCTTGGTTCTGTTTGGGTCTGGAATCCATGGTGAGCTGCACAGCACTGGCACGAGCAGGATGGCAGCGACATGAGTGAGGAACGGTCCTGAGTGACAGGATGGGGTTAGGAAGGGATGAGCTCAGTGCTGCCCATGGCAGTGCCTCTGCGCCCTGACCGCAGCCTCCTGACCTGGAGCAGCGGTTCCCAAGTCCAGAGGTGTCCGTGCAGCAGAGTGCTCTGCTCCACCCAGCCCCTGCCTCCTTCCGTCCCCAGCGCGGGTGCCAGCGCTATTGCTGCGGGTGGTGCAGAGCGCACAGCACCCTCGTGGCCCGGGTTCAGCACCCAGGAACAGCTCTGGCGCTGCTGGGGATCGTCCCGCTTCCCTGCCTGCCACAGGCAAGTCACATAGCTGCTGGGGATCACCCATCCGTTGGGGTGGTGTCACAGCGGGCTGGCTGCACACAGAGCAGAGCCTGCAGCCCCCTTGTACCCCATCCCCTGCTGTCTCTGAGCAATTCCCTTGGGAATTAGTGCCACAGTGGCTAAATAAAGGAGGAAATGCAGGCCCGGGGATGTAAATTCCCACTTGGAAGTCTGTACCTGTAGCTTTCCAGCTGGATTTTCTATCTGCCCCAACTGAAGGCTCACTGCTGCCCAAACTGCTGCCACTGCCCACTCCGACACTGACTCCCAGTGCCAGACCTTGTCTCACCCACGGCTCTCACTGTGCTGCAGGAAGCCAGCCCTAAGCCTCCTAACCCTGAGCCCTCTCTTCTCATGCAGTGAATCAGAGAACGCTCACAGCTGACCTAAAGGACCTGCACACCACTGTCAGTGACATACAGATGGCCTGTCACAACATGCCAGCTACCGCGGAGGACAGGTTTGCTGTTGTGATGGCCGTATCCTTCTGTGAATGGAACACATCACCCAGGTGACTTCACTGCCTCCAGTGAAACCATTCGGTGTCTTTGTGCCCCCTTGGGCAACAGCGGGGCTGTGTCTGGCTATAGGAAAGCATCATCTCAGCACTCGGGGGATCTTCCCTCTCCACTCAGTCTTAGTGCATAAAACAGCTTTGGTGATGGTCACTGGTTCCCCTGCCTCTGCAGGGCAAACCCAGTGCCACACAGCCAGTGAGCTTGCTGAGCTGTTCATCCTTCCACGCTGGCCCAGAGAAGCTGTGGCTGCCCCATCCCTGGCAGTGCTCAAGGCCAGGTTGGACACAGGGGCTTGGAGCAAGCTGCTCCAGTGGAAGGTGTCCCTGCCCGTGGCAGGGGTTGGAGCTGGAGGAGCTTTAAGGCCCCTTCCAACAAAAACCTAAGGTTCTATAAGCGCTGCTGGGGAAGCCGAGTGTACCAGTGGGCCCCCTTCGCAGCCAGCATCTGCAGCAACTCCTTTCTTAGACCCAAGATGAAACCCAGCCACTTGATAAGCAGAAGCGACTCTGACCTGTACCAGGCTGTTTGTCCTTAAGCCGCTTCCCTCAGTCCTTCCTGGAGAGCGCCCAGCCTGCCATGCGATCCCTGGACGATCTGCAGCACAAGGCCATGGAGGAATTCAGCAAGGTGCTGTCCTTCTTCGGGGAGGACTCCAAAATGACGACTTCTGAGGCTTTCTTTGGCATTTTTGCAGAATTCATGAGCAAGTTTGAGGTGAGCTCCACTTGCGAAGGCAGCCGGCGAGGGGGCTCCTGTTAAGTGTCAGTGTTTCACCTGCACGTGAGCTGTGGGAGCCAGATGAGGGCTTTGTGTCTGTAAAGTGCCAGGTTTCAACGCACAGGTTGGTTGGTGGGCGCAGGAGGGTTGAGGGTCACCAGCCCCATGGAGAGTCAAGGCGATTGTCATGGTTAACCAAGGCTGGGTTGGAGCTCCACAAAGCAGACTCAGGGAGTGACCAATCCAGGGGGAAGCAGGGGTAGAATTAAGCCTGTAGCAGCCAGGACATCCCTGGCCCGTGCCCATCTCCTGTCTCTGCTCTCTCTGCAGCGGGCACTCAGTGATGTGCAGGTCGGCGAGAGCCAGCGCAGCCCCCGGATGACGTCTCCCCTGGCCTGGTGATGGGCAGCATCCCATGAGCCGCAGCGTTCATTGCCAACCAAGTGCAATTTGCTCCCGTTGAGGCCGGTTGTACGCCCGCTGCTGCCGCCTGCTCCCACCCAGCACAACAGGGACCGGGGCTCGGGGCAGTCGGGATGCTGAAAGGGTACCACAGGGGGTGGTGGATGGGTGCGAGGGTGAGGCACGGGGACATGAAGGTGAGCACCTCACTGGTCTTGACAAGAGCTTTCCTGGCGTCCTCCATCCCCAGCTCATTCCAGGATTTAGACACCGCTGGGTAAACCCCCCCCATCTCGTGTTCCCAGAGCATGCCATTGCTGGCCGGTGGCAATGGGATGCAACACAACCTTCAGAACCCTTCTGGAAGGTCACCGTGGTCCCAGGTGTGATCCAGTCTGGTTTTGCCAGGCTGTGCTGGAGTAAGGGAAGGCCAGAGTCCGTCCTGGCCACCAGCTTTGCTTAAAGGTGTGTTAGAGACTGGCAGGTCTTGGAATCATCCCAAGGGTTTAGCAGCAGCACTACAGGCTTATCGGAACTCACCAGGAGACACAAACCCCTGGGCATTCTGGTGCCTCAGGGGCAGAGACCAGTGAGAAATAGATCCCTGTCCTATATTTGCTCCCAAGGGCTGGAATCCCCAGAGTCCCTTTCGTGTATGGCCGCTTGTTCATGCTGAGTGTACCCAGGGAACTCAGAGCGTGCAGGTCCAACCTTCCAACAGTGTCTGCTTGTTGTTTAGATGCGGTGTCCCCGGGGTGGAAGGGAAGCAGCATCCCCTGCTCAGTGCATGCCCCTCGGGGGGACACGGTGCCCCCAGAGCTTGCCAGCAGCCACGCTCCAGTGCATTCGCACTGGGAGGCATCGCTCCGTGCCACCCGCATCCATTGCCTTTCAGACCCCACTCGCTCCCACATCCTGCCCGGTGGAAGACATAGCATAGGGAACCTTCCTCCCATCTCTTGCCACAGCCAGAGCTCCTCCTGCAGCGGCTGGTGCGTTACTTAGGGGGACCTGATGACCATCAAATCCGGTCTGGTTTTAAGCCCTGCTCTAGGACGTGAAGTGCATTTCCACAAGTGATCTCAGCTCACACAGCTTGAAGTGCCAGGTAGCTTCTAGTGTTGTCCAGCCCTGAGAGCGGGGCCAGGGCGACGCTGCCCCAGCTCCACGTGTCTGGGATGCTGCACACTGCATTCAGTTCATTTTGGTTTATTTTTCTAACCGCATACTCAATATCGAAACCACCCGAGGTTCTTTTCCCTCGCTGTACATAGGTTTTGCTACGCGTTGTACCTCCCCAGGACGGGTAGAACTCCAACCCCTTTGGTATTTTTATGGGAATATTTTCAAAGAACCAGAACTTCTGACTTCAGGTTGTATTATTTGATAACGGGACTTGTGTATAGTCACGGTTCAGCCTCTCCCCCATGCCTATGTGCTGTCCCTGAAATAAAGCTGCTGCCTTCTGCCTCCTGACGCCATGGGCCTCCGTGTTGTGTCAGCCACTGCTCGTGCGACGGCTGCAGGTGCGATCCTGCACCGTGCACTGCTGCGACCGCTGACCCTCACCCCTCCAGGAGGGAGCTGCAGCATCCGACCTTGCTGGGCTTGGGCTGGGAACAGGGAAAACAACGGCACAAGCGCGCCCAGCCCTGCGTGAGCACCGGCAGCCAGGCTCGTGCTGGGTGTGAGCAGCACATTCTTAGCATAGCGTGGAGTATTCCTGCAGAAGAAAGCATTGAGAGAGGGGATGAGCCAGGGGTTGTTTCCCCCTGCAAAGGAATGTCCCCAGAGGGATTTATCTCTTTTACACTAAAGCAGATAGGGGCCGGCTGCTATCGGCTTTCTGGTTGTAGTTTGGCTTGCTGCAGGCTGCTCGGTCCTCCCTGGAGGCCACAGCACCGGCAACTGTAAAAGAGCTCTGAGCAGAGCTAACAGAGACATGACAGGTAGAAATCCCTTGCTGAACACGTGCATTTACAGTGCTCAGGCCCCTCCTGATGCTCCTGGCTCAGCCAGCCTGGCTCTGGTGCAACCCTGGGGATAACCATGGAATCCCAGACCTGTTTGGGTGGAAGGGACCTTAAAGCTCCTCCAGCTCCAACCCCTGCCACGGGCAGGGACCCCTTCCACTGGAGCAGCTTGCTCCAAGCCCCTGTGTCCAACCTGGCCCTGAGCACTGCCAGGGATGGGGCAGCCACAGCTTCTCTGGGCACCCTATGCCAGCGCCTCAGCACCCTCCCAGGGAAGAGCTTCTGCCTAAGAGCTCATCTCAGTCTCCCCTCAGGCAGGTTAAAGCCATTCCCCTTGGCCTGTCCCTATGTGCCCATCTACAAAGCCCCTCTCCAGCTTTCTTGTAGCCCATTTAGGCACTGGAAGGCTCCCAAGCTGCCCAGTGCAGAGGCGAAACCTCCCACCGCCCGTTGCAGAACGGATCCCGGAGCCTCCCTCGCAGTCAGCACCCCCATCGCACGCTGCCTTTGCTGCTTCTTGGTAACTGCAAACACGAGGGCATTTCTCCCCAGAATCAGTGCCCCGGCACTCTCCTCCCAGCCCCGGCTCAGCAGAGCCCCTGCGTCAGCCCCGGTCACGGGATCCTGGGCACAGGAAAGCCTGTCCTTGGGAAGGAAACAATAAGTCAGGCAGCAGCCCGGGGTCAGGCAGGGAATGCAGGCTCTGGCTCCACGGGTGCCGCTTCCCCCCCCTGCCAGAGCCGGGAGCGGTGACCTGACAACCCCGGTTACATCCCGAACCTCGCAGTGTTTAAGGGGTTTCACTCTTCCCTGCAAGAAATGGTGTGGGGGGGAAGACTTCAAAGAGGAAATGAGCAGCTTTAGTAAAGTCACGGTGAAGGCACGAGGGCAGCTGTAGCTGGGGTAAACCAGCACGAGGCTGGCGTCTCCAAGCCAAAGTGCAACCACTTTGAACCCTCTCTCTAAGTATCTTGATAATGGATCGAAGGGCCACCATCTATAATGATCTTCCAGGTGCCATAAAAGGTGCCACAGAGACAAACTGAGGTGTCAGCTCCAGAATGGAAAGGTTGGAAGTCAGGAAAAAGTGGCACAGACTGGAAGCACCTGATTGCTGGGTCTGAAGCCCCAAATTCCAATGCAATTGGGGGAAATCGGGGTTTTCCAACTTCCAGCAGATCAAGTGAAAGCATCTCCAATCACAAGGTTCAAAGACCTTTAGTTATGTTCGTCTGCACTATAAACCAAAAGGGAAACAAGGGGATAAAATACAGACACCGAGGCTTTGCTTTCTGTTATTATAGACCCTGGGGTGCCCTTTCCTAGTTAACAAACTGGCTTCTATTATCAATGTCAAGAATCGCCTGTAGGTGTTTATCAGGTTTTCAGACCGACGGTGCTGAAGTCGAAACCTCCAGCCTGGTGCTGGGATTAAGTGGGAGCAAGCGACAAACCCCATCCATCCCATGGGTGCATTGTGCTCTCTGCGAGGCTCAGGCACTCTCGCTGTGAGCTCCCCCCCGTGCCGCGGGCTGTCAGCTCGGGAGGACATCAGCGTGGCTGGGTTATTGTTGCCTGTCCCTTCTCTGGCTGTGCAGATTGCTTAAGAGAAAGGCACTCTGTGGAGTTTGACCCGGGAGCCCTGAGAGTGAAAATAACGCGCGGCTCCTCACCAGAGCCACGGGGCACCGGGAGAGGGACTGCGGGCCAGTAGTTTAACTTTGACTATCGATATTCCTCCTCATTCCTTGGGACACCGGTAACGGCTCCGCTGGCAAATCCCGACCCTCTGGCAATATTTAAGCTGCCTGTCAGTTGGCAGAGGCTCGGTGGTGCCCGGCGCAGGGGGACAGAATGAGACCCGGCTGAGCGCAGTAAGTTCCCTTTCAGCTTGTACCTCGAGTCGGGGAGCTGCGGTCGGTGCGAGGGTTGGGGGCCGCGGTCCAGCGCTGTGGCTGTGTCCTCAGGAGGATGGATGTACCTGGGGATGCTTTAACACCCCCCCCCCCCCAGAGGAGGCATTTCCAGTGGTCCCGGTGGGTCCCTCGAGCCCCACGTGGGCTGCGCCTCTCCCGGCACCATTGACACAGGGCTGGCTTCAGCCGCTTCATTTCCATGCCACGGATGTTCCTCCCCGCGGTCTCTGGCGGGGACAGCGCTGCCGCCGGTGCCAGGAGCCGAGGGCACCGAGCCGTGAGCTGCATGCACAAAGCAGGCAAAATTTCCACTGGGCCGTGCAGTTGGGATGCGAAACCAGAGCGACCGCGCGCTGCCCCTTCCCTAGGGCCTGCCGCTCCAGCTGCCGCAATGGGGCAGCGGCTCTCACCCCCCCGAACGCCCCTGGAGCATCCCCCACCTTTCACCACTGATGGGCACAGCTAATGCCTGCAGAGCTCTGAATCCGCATGCGTTTTGGAGGGATGGACACAACTCTCTCCTATATGTGGGCTGAATCCTGACTGGGACCGAGCGTGTGTATCCTATAGCGCTGTCTGTGCTGCCGCGCTACCCACCTGAGATGGGAAGTGCCTTGGGATGGAAAGAAACAGCGCTATCAGAGCTGAGATAGGGAAAGCAGGAGGTGTCAGCATGGGGTCAGCAGCATCCCGGGGCTGACATACCAAACCCTGTTTGTCTTTTCCTAGTTAGAGGTTAAGCGTGCCAGTAAAAACTCAGTGACAGCCAAGACATATTGCCTCTTAAAGAGGTAAGACTGAGCTTCGGTGCCCTGCATCCTTGCCAGGCAGAAGCTCCCAAGGAATTCAGTGGGATCTGGGGGCTCTATGAGGCACAGAAGAGGCTCTGACAAGGTGCTGCAAGTCCCCGGTCCCAGCCTGGTGCTGCTACCACTGCCACTCAACCCCAACATGGGTCAGCACCATATTGAGCTCTGGGACTGGAGGCTGCTGCTGTGGAAAGCGGGTGATGGGGTGGTATCAACCACCAGAAAACTCCTTAGTTTTTGTCCAGCCTCTCCATAAGTGCCTAAGCCCGCAGCCCCAGCGCTGCAGGACTGGGTGCAATGGGCACACAGGGCAAGGAGAAACCGCAGCATCTCCATCACCACCGCACCTGCACCTCCGTCCTCTCCGCTTCATTCATACCCCTTGGCAATGGGTGCAGGACTGCGGTGGCTTCACCTCATCTCAAGGGGAGTTCAGGGCAGGTTCCAGCTGCACTTCCCACACGGACAACGCGGTGAAGCCGGTTGTGAGCGAGGGACAGGGTGGCTGAGGCTGCTCGGGTCCGTGCTCTGCTGCACGATGGTGCTCACAGGAAGAACTTGTTCGACCGCCTGCTCCGTGCTGGTCCATGCGGGAGCCCCGGGCTGCTGAAGGCCACCCCTCGCCCCACCTTTGGGCAGGGGGGAGCTTATAAATGTGGCTTCACAAGTGCAAGAGAGGCTGAAGGACCTGGGCAGCCACAGGCAGGAGGAGGCCGGGTCCCTCCTCACCATGCAACCCGTTCTTTAACAGATACATGCATCGAGGCGAAGAAGCACCGGGCCTGCATAGGAAGCCATGGAGACCACCAGCAGCACCCCTGTGACCCCCTCGTGGGACGTGTTTCCCCAGAGGACGCTGGAAGCCGTGGACATCGCTGTCCTTGTGCTGTACTTCGTGTTCGTCCTCGCGGTTGGGCTGTGGGTAAGCAGATACCATTGAGAGCCTTCCTATGTGCCCTCTTCTACCGAAGACCAGGGCTGCTTTGGCCCCAAAGTCTTTCACTTTGGCTTGAATCAGGCAGCACTTCACCGGGTTCAACTGAACAAGCAGAAAGATAAGAGTCTACAGGTCCTTTCCCTCTCTCCAGCCTGGGGAAGGGTGCTCAGCGCTTCAGGAGAGCTGTTCAGCTCTAGTGTTTGCCAAGCTTTAAGAACCCTTGTGAGGAAGAGGTTGTTTAAGTACAAAGTATTGCTAAGAATAATGGTTTGTTCATCCCGGAAGGAACTGCTGTCCTATAAATCACCTGAGCCTGTCCACAGTGCTCTAGTCCATAAATTACAAATGCTGTTTGGTTATAATTAAGGCAGAAGGACATCCTTTTGGCATGGCTTCTGTAACAGCAAAAGCACAATCCGGCTGTCGTAAGGCAGAGATGAATAGCTGCTCCCTTCCAGTGTGGTGATAACGCTGCTGGTGTTGCATGAAACTGCCTGAAATCCCTGAGGAAGAGGAGTCAGTAACACGTGCAACGCTGAGCAGACCCAATACCCGGGGATGCCCATAGCTCTTGTCCAAAACCGTTTGACTTCCTCGCTGATCTGGAGGGATTTAGTTTGCTTATCACAGCAAACAGTCGATCCGGATGCTGAGCTGGTGGAAAACCTTGTGCATGGCCGCTCCCTCCCTTGTCTGCTGCTCTCTTGTCCCCTGGGATTTCCCAACAGGAGCTGCAGGTCCTTCCAGGAACCCTTTGCTTTCACCCGATGGCAGCACAGAGTCTCCCGCAGGGGAAGTCCCTCTTGGTGATGCCCTGCTCCACAATGAAGTGGCTGCTGAAACCTCTGTTGTGCTTTTCTGCTTCCCCAGTCCATGTGGAAGACGCAGCGCAGCACTGTGAAAGGCTACTTCCTAGCTGGAGGCCAGATGGTTTGGTGGCCTGTAAGTATCTCCATCATTACACCACTTGTGCCCATCGGCTACAGCAAGACCAAAAGCGCTTCTGGCCCAGCAGAACTTTATTCTCCAAAGGGGAAACAGGAACAAAAAGTACTTCCATGTTTTGCATGGATGCAGTTACAAAACTGCCTGGTTTATTCCATATGGGAGACAGGGGGAGCAGAGCTGCTGCAGGACACATGCTGCAGCCTGGGCCCCAGGCGAGCCTGGTCCTGCGTGCTTTGACCTGCAGACATCCAGAATTACCCATCACAGACCCAGCTTTATACTGAGGGTCTTCCGCTTGGGCTGGTCAGTCTGTGTGTGCTAACAGAGGAACCTCATGACCTGGCATTTCTGCTTGTTACCTCCCACCTTCTGCCCTGCTCCCCTGCACGAGAGCAGACATGGTTTTGGAAGCAGGATGGGGCTAAACGTGCCCCAGAACGAGCGATAGGCAGTGAATAATGAAAGAAGCTGGGTAAAGGAGCCAGAGACACTGAATGTGTAGGGAAAAGAAGAAGGTGGCAGGGGGTGACAAGACTCTCACATCCTCCATAGCCACAAGCGGGGGAACAGCATCCCTGTGTTCCCACCCGCCTTGTGCAGGGCCAGATCCCGTTTTCCCTCTTTCTCCAGGTGGGCGCATCCCTGTTTGCCAGCAATGTTGGAAGCGGCCACTTCATCGGCCTGGCTGGGTCAGGAGCTGCCTCGGGAATTGCCGCAACAGCCTACGAGTGGAATGTGAGTGTGGAGCAGCAACCCCGGTGCTGTGCAGGGCAACTCCAGCCCCTGTAGGTCCGGCAGCTCCAGAGGCTCGGAGTCCTGCTGCAGGAGCCGGATGGCACCAGGGGCTGCTGGTGTTTGAGGCCTCTGAAGGATAACTCCATCCCTGTGTCCCATAGAGCCAGAAGCTCGCATCCCTGCCAGCATCCCTCACCTTCCTTCCCATTTGCTCCGCAGGGGATGTTCTCTGTCCTGGTGCTGGCCTGGCTGTTCCTGCCAATTTACATCGCAGCAGGGGTACGTAGGTGGATGTTGTGCCCAGCAGTGATTTACTGCTATCTAAAGCACCTGCTCGGCTGCTGGGTTTAACACCTCCTGCTGCAGCTGTGGTCCTTCTGCAGGGCCTGGGCTAATGGGGAGGAGAGCTGTTGGGTACCACCGTGCTGATGGCTTGCGTCTCCCACAGGTTACTACCATGCCAGAGTACTTGCAGAAACGTTTTGGAGGCAAAAGAATCCAGGTGTTCCTGGCAATTCTCTATTTGTTCATCTACATCTTCACCAAAATATCAGTAAGTGGAAAACACTGGAATCAGACTGAATTCGGGCTGGAAACGGGATGAGTGAGGCTCAGAAATGCAGCTGCTGGCTGCAGAAAAGGGTGTATTAAAATACCTGAGGAAGTTAGACTACAGTCATTGTGAGAACCCACACACAAAGAATAACTCCTTTTCCCCCACTGAGCACCTGCTGCAGTGGGAGGGAAGCTGGGTGTCAGCATCCTGAGCAGCAGCTCGTTGAGGAGTCGGGCTGTGAGCGTGGATGTGTCTGTTGTCAGCTTTTATACATGTGGCAGCTCACCTGGACTCTTCCCTTTGCATGTACTGCCTGCACAGACACCAACCACGGTTACATGCGGGAGCAATGAGGACGTAGGAGGTGGTTTGTGCTCAGGTGAAGAGCGCTGAGCGACTGATTCACTGCTCCTGCCTGATGCAGGGCCTTGAATAAATAACTGACCCGATCCTTGCGCAACACCTCGCTGCTGTTCATTAACCTGAGGTGGGGCAGGGACCTGTGAAGCCAGAGAGGTCCCTGCTGGTGTTCTTCCTGTACACACAGGGCTAAAGAGGGATGTGCTGTGTGACCCACGCCTGCCTTGTCCCTGCCGAAACAGCCGCAGGCCAGGGGGTGCAGGCGGCTCTAGGAAAAGCCAGCTCTTTAATGGAGATCTCTGATAACAGGATTCCTGCGTCCAGGATGCTTCCATGGCCGTCACTCTGGCCTGCAGTCTGCCTATCCCAAAGCCCTCCCAAACTGCAGCATCTTCACCCGGCTGCAGAGGGAGCTGGTCAGGGCTGGCTCCAGCCCCCAGGACACCTTTCCTCCCTGTTTCCTCCCTGCCACCACGTCAGGGAGGAATTCCCATCACGGCTAATGCAGGAGGTGCCACAATGCCCTGGCTCTGGGGCTGCGGGGAGGGATAAGCTCATCCCACCTGAACACCGATAGGGAATTGAGCCAGGTCCTGATGCGCAGTGCGCAGGAGCTTGGGTTGCAGAGGGATGAGCTGCATGGAGGGGACACAGCGGGGAGCTGGGGGTCACGAGCAGTTACCAACAGCATTGGTTCTGCCATAGGAGACAGCTCGGTCAGCTGCATGCTCATGTTCCCTGGCGCTGCCTGCTTCGAGGGGCACTAGAACTGGGCTGACATCCTTCTCCCTCCAGGTTGACATGTACGCTGGGGCCCTCTTCATCCAGCAAGCCTTACACTGGGACCTCTACATCGCCGTGGTGGGCTTGCTGGCCATCACGGCCGTTTACACCGTTGCAGGTACGGGGCTGAGTTTCGGATCATAC